TCTTGGGTGCTCAGCAGATGCCGGTTGCTCTGCGGCAATCCATGTGAGGATGCTGGAAAAACTTACCATTCGCACTGAGCCGTCCCCGCCCTGCGTGCGCTTGCATGCAGATCATGGGCATGGAAACGCGCAACAAGCAGAGCGACAAGTACCAGCCCATGCTGCCGAAGACGCGTATATTGCTGGAGGTGGGTGGGATCAACCGGGACCAATGGGCTAGGGGGGCGCCTTACGCCAGCCCTGTCAGGTGCAGCCTATAACCCCATGGCGGAAGCCTCTGGCTTGGCCTCCGTGTGAGTTAGTGGCCGCAGGCAGGTCATCATGCACGCCAAGCGGGGAGACAAAATCACAGCGCAAGGCGGGGTTCGGAACGGACCAACATCCATACTTTGTGGAAATAAGCAGCTTTTTACAAACACATAAGCTCACAATGCATGTATACCAAGCCTTCAGCGTGCACGCGCCCGTCCATTCCCGGAGCTCCTATTTGATCTGGTCATGCGTACTTCTGTGTGTTTATGTACGTATTTACTTATGTATGTGTGCTGCCCGACGCAGCAATTCTATCAACCGTTCAACGAGCGCCTGGCACATACGTTTGAGGATGACAGGTACAGTAACATCGCATTGATCCACGGGTGTGTGGTTGTTACAATGGGCTCCAGTGTCAATATGGAATGTCCATACATGCGAGCTTTGCAAAAAAGGGCTTCCGGGGTTACCATTCCGTTGCCATTGGGGTTGTCTGCTGCTGCCAGGAAATTTTTTATAGCTTGTTCATGGGTGGCTCAACAGGTTAGCACCCTAAGTTGGCGCTGGTTTCCCTTTCCTCTACACTGCCTTCACATCGTTTTATTTTTATCCACTCCGCTGCAATAGGTGGCTCTGGCGAGACCCTCCAAAGAAGACTTCGGCCAGCAAAACGTAGCGACCACCTTGTATGTTGTTGCGCATCTTCATGCGCACCGCGGATGCCTGAACTGTATTGGTTGGATGGGTGATTCCTCTCGCTGGTGCATCGGTGTCATCGCGACAAGCGCGATTGTGACTCAAGTAACCCCCGAACGATGCGTAGTGTTACCATGGCGCACCGCATATATGAGGAATCTCTACACTAATATCACTGGCGAAGGCAGCACTTGACCTGCCCTCAGGATGAACTGGCAGCGAGGGTGGCGCTATCTCAGCTATAGTTGCTTGTAATGCGGGTGGGTTGGTGAGGTGCCATCCTAGGCAGGGATGTATGACAGCGTGGGTTCTGGGCCAACCCGAGCTGTAGGGCTGGTGGATCGGGCTCCTTGCCCGCTTTTCTTGACGGTGCATCAGCGGTGCGCCCGTGGTGAACGGCTTCTTACCGGGAGGAATCCAGCTGCATGGGTTTGTTGATTTGTGCTGTGATCTCGTGCTGTATTGCTTGCCTGTGGAACATAACAGCTCGAATACGCATGCCGCCCAAGTGAAGGAGGGGAGTTAGGTAGGTTTGGCGGTATGTTGAGTTCAATTTTGTGCTGTCATGAACGTAGTGGGGAGGAAAGAAATGTTATGGACTGGTTCGGTATTCTTGTGGTCACCTTCTAAGTAGCTAGGGCAGGTATGTATTTGGACGCGTCGGACGCAGCGATTTGCAAGGCAGGTGTGGTAAGGGCTGTTATGATGTGTGGCAAACGACCAATGCCATCTCAATTTGCGATGAGGAGAGCCCTTGCACCCCCAGCTGACCTTGCCTTGGTCCGGGTTCTTGTGTCGCAGTTATTCTCCTTAGGCATATGCTAGCTAGGTAGTCACATTTCGCCAAGGGCGAAACTGCCCAGCATCTTGATGAAGAGTTTTCCTAGCGGGTTTACGTGATCACGGTCTTTCTCATAGGCAGGTTGCTGCATCTTTCTGCCACTGGCGCAAAAGTGCCCTAAGTCAGGGGGCTTGGGCGCCTCCTCAACCTAAGCGTCCGGGTCGCTGCAGGCGTTGTTCTAGCTGCTCTTGGTAGCTGCATACCTGGGGATAGCGGCACTGCTGAGGGGAGGTGCCGGTGAGGTGCTAGGTAGGTAGGATGCAACCGTTCTCGCAGCTTCCATGGAGCTCTTTGTTCGCGTGCATCAAGGATAAATACACTTAAAAAGAGTGGCTTTCCTGGAGGCAAGCGCACCGTGTTGACCCTGATCCATCCTACATAGGGCTCATGGACCCGAGCTTGGTTCAACTGTAAGCACCGTAATGCTCGCTTTCCTGGAGGGGCATGCAGAGGCGTTTATCACCATTGGGTGCTGCGAGCTGCGAAAGCTTGTAACGGACGGCCTCCTGGGTATCGAACGACCCGGGAACTGAGTATGGCACAAGTAGGTTGGTGGCCGTACTCAGGTCGGTGAGCTGTATAACTTCGAGTATTTGTGTGACAGGGCCCTCTGGCTGGATTACTTCGGGTTAATTGCACGTAAGAAGGTATCTGTAGCCAGCACTAGGTGTCCCTGGTTTGCGGTGCCACCCGACAAGCTTCACTTTCTCGCCGTGCGTGCAATCTTACCAAGCTTAGTCACTTGCCAGGCTATCCAAATTCCCTTCAGCTATGGTATCTAGGGTTAGGAGGCAAATGGTTACAGGTTTCCCAGTGCGTTGACAATCCCAGCTTCCAGGAGCAAGCGTGGTGTGATTAGAATGACATGTAAATAGGTTTTGGTATATCATCCGTGCACGTTAGGCCTGAAGGCCTGCTGGTTTAACAGTACAGGATGGCTAAAGACGAGGCGATACGAATGCAACAGCTTGCACGACGAGGGTTGACCCCTTTGCACAGAACGATCAGCACCCATAGACGCTAAAAAGCAAAAAGTTCATGTTTTAATTTAAGTAAAACGCAGGATGGCTTAACAGTTCTTGGACCTGCCAGTTGCAAATCCTTGCAGCGTCCAAACCTACTGTACATGACTTAGTTCAGGAACTATTTTCTGTTGACCGATTGATCTTCGCCATGAGAAGCCATCAACACAATCGTCGTCATCAACAGCAGGCGCAGGGACGACCTTCCCTGTTGGCACATCTCCCGCAAGCGTTGGTCATCGCAGCGATCTTTGCCATTGTAGTGTACGCTGGATGGGCCTATAAAACGCTGAGCATTCGCGTTGGGCATACAGAGTCGGCACCATCCGGAGCACCGTCCGTGCGACTCCTCAAGTCAGAACAGGTATCTCCAGCACATAGTCCCCACGAACGGGAAGCCGTATCAAAAGCTCCTCAACCTCCACCTTCGGCCCCTAGATCGTCTCCGGCATCCTTCAGCCCTCCCCTGGCTCCATCTCGAAAAAGAGCGTCCTCTCTGGCACCACCGTTGCTCCCACCGCCTTTTCCCCTCCACCACCTCCGCACCCGTCCTCTCAGCCTACTTCCTCACCAACACAACGGCAGGGCCAGCATCAGCAACTTGATGTAGGCAGCACACCACATGGCGCAGCAGGCAACACAGCTGAAACCAACAACAACCAACCAAACCAACAACCACAAACCAACAAAACCCTAACAACCCTAACGGTACCCTAGCCCACATGGGCCCAGGATATAAACCCTTTGTTGATGATGGACTGAAATCCGTTGACGCATACGCCAGCGATGACCCGGGTGACGCGTTGCAGGCCACCAACGGCGGCACCGTGAGCGGTCGCACGGGGCGAAACTCCGGCGCACAGCTTACGCGCCCGTCCCCCGGTGGGACGCTGTTCAGCTGGGGCCTCAAGGAGTGGCGGCTTGGGAGGTTAGCAGGTGGGTTTCTTCCAGTTGCAGCAGAAAGGCATAGGTAGGTGGTTAAGTTGCTGTTGAGAACATGTGGCCTTTGCGCTGCCGCTTCTGGGTGGAGTCTAAATGTCTCATAGCTTACGTGTGCTGACCAAGCTCCTGGCGGCCGTGCAGGCGATGAATCTCTTCCGGAACCGGCCCTGCGCCACCTGACCATCATTTCCATGGCCGCCAGCCGGCATTCCGCCGTCGCAACTTCTGATGGTGTGGTTTGGACGATGGGCTACAACGACTCCAGGTGGGCAGCCCGTGGCGGGATGGAGGGTTCTGATGCATATGCAGGCGTTACCGCGACCCTTTGTGTTCAACGGGATACAGTGAAGCCGGGCATCTGAGTCGGGATGTGTATGCTCTGAAAGCTGAGCCACACAGATCCTGGCAAGTGTAAGGTTACATGGTCGCCATTTTCTGATGTGGGTCACCATGACGAGGGCCGAAACTTTACCCTTGCGTGCTTATGACTGCCTGACACACCGCAACCACTTCCCGTACCGCGATTGCAGCCCCCAAGGGCCCGACGGATGAGGTCCGCCCGGAATGGTTTTTCTTCAGTCTGTGCATTATTGTGACGCTTCCTTCTAGATGCTATAGGCTAATAGGACGGCACTTGTACCTAGTCCTTGTGAGACTGACTTTATAGTCAATACAACTACGTTTTATTCAGAGGATGAGCTATAGGTCAGAGCAATTATGTTCTACTCCCAGCGCCGCCTATCCCATTGTTGCTCCTGCGCCCGTTCCAGGGGCGGCGGCGGCCACGGCAGCCCGCCCCTGGACGCTTCAGGCCAATTGGGCCGCAGCGGGGGAAATGAGCCTGGTCCCGTGGAAGGTCCCCTGCGCGGCAAGTTTGTGGTGCAGGTGGTGACGGGGCGTTACCACACCATGGCCGTCACTGAGGATGGGGAGCTCTACTCCTGGGGCCTCAACGACTGGGGGCAGCTGGGCCGGCCCGCGGTGGGAGCCACGTCGGAGTCGGACCCCACACCCTGCACCGCGGGGCCAAGCTGCCACTCGGGAATGTGAGTAGGGAAAAGGGGTCTCGGAGCGGGTTGGGTGGGGGGGGAGTTCTTATCGTGCGACTCAGGCAGGACTCAGATGGTGTCGTAGGTGCTATGAGTGGGATATGCTAGCTAAGTTGTAGCAAAGATATGGCTGGCATGTGTCTGGCTTCCAGTGGCCTATCATCTGATGACTCCTGTACTCCCTGTCACGTGCCGCAGCCCCGGCCTGGTGTCCCTACCTGGCGGCGTCCGCGTGGTGGGTGCTGCTGCCGGTCGCTATGTGAGCATGGCGGTGGACGATTCAGGACGGCTGTACACTTGGGGACATGATGGATGCTCCAACGGCGGAAAGCTGCCTGAGCGGAATGAGGCCTACAAGCCGAAACTGGTCAGCGGAGAACTGGCAGCCAAGCGCGTGGTTGCATTCGACGCGGGCTACGTGTTCTGGCTTGCTGCTACGGCGGAGGGCGAGGTGTACACGTGCAACTCGCAGGTGGGAGAGGGGTGGAGTGGGGCCAGGAGGCGCGGTCAGGAGGAGCGACAGGGCAGTGTTCGGTGATAGGCAGGTTTGCACCCCGCAACCTGCAGGTCCCGCAGATTTTGATTGCCTGGCGGTCAGATCGCGGCCTTGCAAAATGTTTTTAGTGTTACAACTGACGGCCGTCTAAAGGCGTGCACATGCCTGAAGTGATCACCCATCACAGATCTTTACAGCGCTGCTGTACGTCTCCCCCCGCATGAAAATTCTGCTGGCCTTAACGCATGGCGGCATGGGAAATATTATGACTTTTAAAATCCGTGCTACGCGAGGCGAGCCGTGCAGGACCAGGACCGCTTCCGCTCCAGGCCTGGGCGTGCAGTAGGCTTACTTGCTTTCCAGCCTGCGGTGCTGAGCTACACGCCCTCTACTTCCGCCTTCCGGTTTCCGCCCAGTTCCCTATTTCAGGCTCGCATCCCCTGGCCTATTCCGCAGGACGATGGTTACGCGGGCACCCTGCCTACGAAGCACAAGCCCAACCAGGCCGGGGAGCTGGGCCGCGATGGGGACCCGTTTGTGGCTGGCCGCGTGGCTGGAGCGCTGGTAGGACAGAAGGTGCGTTCCAAGGAGGAAACATGGGCAGTAGATGCCCGCGGCTACAAGCGAAGGTCCAAGCAAGCGTCCGACACTCCATGGAGGAAATGCGCGAGGCAGCAGCCGCGCGGCGCCCCTTTTGTCTCTGCTCAACCGCTCACCTGCTTAATGCTTCCTCCGATGTGATCTTTTGCATGTATGTCTTCGTAGGTTGAGGCTGTCGCTGCGGGCCGCGAGCACGCCGTGGTGTCCACTGCTGACGGCAAGGTGTTCACGTGGGGCGGCAGGGAGCTGCTCATCGGCAGGGAGGGGAACTCCAGGGAACCTGCGCAAGCACTGGTGAGAGAGCGATCTTCTGTTGAGGTTGAGTGCTACTCCACAAGCCGTGGCACTGTTTAAAACAACCTTGTGTCCTCCCGCCTGTGTCCTCCCGAACCCAAGGGTGCACTGGCGAGTGATAACATCCGCTTCGTGTCAGCGGGGGAGTACCACAGCGGTGCGGCCTCCGAAACCACTTTGTACGGCTGGGGCAGCAACGATTACCTCTGCACCGGTGTGGGACGCGGCAATCCCGTACAGGTACGCTCTGCTGCAGCATCGTGATGTTATTCCTTATCCGGAATAATTTTTTTAATGAGACCAGCTTACTATGGCTCTCGCTACAGGGGTAAGCTGCTGGTGGTGTCGCTTCGAGGGACACGCAAATTTACCTCCGCTGCACTGTTGGCAACAAGGGGAACATGGGTTGACATAGCGCCCGCTAACCTGCCCTGTTCCCCAGCCCCACCTTCATCCCTTGCGCTGTACGCTATTGCAAACTTGGCTGACGCAATAGAGCGAAATGCGCTCGCTGTCTGCACCGGCCTATGCGTGATCAGCTGGGATAACCAGCACCGTAACCCTGCGACTGCCCACCTGAGACGCGGCCGCTCCATGCTTCCCTGCGTGCGTTTTAACAGAAATTGGAAGGTGGCAACGACCGTGGCGACGTGGTACTGCCCGCCAAGTCGCTGGGCCCTATTTCGGAAGGGGGCTGGCAGGTGCAGGCGCTGGCAGCTGGCTATCAACACGCACTGGCAATTGCGGCCAACAAGGGCGGTAGTTGGGAGAGCAAGCCGAGGTAGGTGTCTGGGCAGGTACATGTGCGCGGTGGGCTGCTTGCTTGCCATGGCTGGTTCCCATGAACGGTTGTGGTGGTTACAGCCGTAGTAGGTTATGACAGCAGATTTGTCAGCATCATCGCTGCCGCATTCATGACGAGGCTTGCTTGAGGCGAAGGAAGTACGTGTGCGTGGTTGATGTTCAAATTGTTCGGAGCGAGCCCACCTGTGTTGCTGGCTAGCTGCCGGCATGCGTGAATGCGGTCCATGCCCAGGCGATGCCGAGGTCCATGGCAGCAAGAGCTTTGGAAGGTCGCTTGTGTCCATATCGGGCAGGCCCCATCTTGAAGTGCTCGCAAGGATGCTCCAAGCCTGGCCTGGCCAACAACGACCCGCGTCAAGACATGATTCTTAAAGGCTTTGCATGATCTCGACCGATGATGTTTGGGTGTGCCGTCCTGCTGAGACACGGCACAACTGTGCACTGCCTCGTGTGTCTTGGCCACCTTCAGGGAACTGAGTGGAGGCCAAGCCTCCGCCACCGCAGCTGGCGCTGCGGAGACTCCGTACACCGACACCTCGGCACCCGACTACCACACCCGCTACCTGGCACCGCAGCTACACCCCATCGAGCTCAACGCCTCGGAGTACGCGAAGCGATACCGGCGGTCGGACCGCTTCCACCTGATCGAGGTGGGTTGCTGATTTATGTGTTCGCCTCGCCCGGTTAAAGATGGGGCCATGCGGTTCCTGATGTCGCTAACCACAACTTCGCATATTGACGACTCTTCCGGCTGGTCCGTACCGCTTATCACGCGTAAACAAATGCCTTGGCCCCTTCCTCTAACAGCCGGAGTCTCCAGATATCTGGAAGGTTCTGCCGACCGCCTACGATCCCCGCTACAAGAACCCCTGCTGGTACGGGCGCTTCCTTGACGATTCGGTTTGGATGGTGGTTGATTTTCCTTTGGTTGCCACTTGAAGTTTTGCTTAATAGACAATGCGTAGAGAACCTGGGTGCTTGCTAGCACGCCTTGACAACAGCAAGGGGGAACTGCACAAACGCAGGGAGTGTTCACACCAGTTTGCGTCTACCCGATGCCCCATGCGCGCGAGCATGGGTTTGTTCGCCATCGCTTGACACCCTTCATTGCTGTCCATTGCACCTTGGCTCCGCAGGATGGTAGGGGAGCGCCTCCGCTGCGTGCCCTTCTTCCACATCGTGGGTGTCTCCAAGTGCGGCACCACCGACCTCTACCACCGCCTGTCCAAGCACCCGCAGCTTTTTGAGTCACGTAACAAGGTACAGATAACGCCCTCTGTATGACACAGCGCGACGCGTGTGAAAGCTTTGGCGCTGGAGATGCGGGCAGTGTGGCCGGAAGGATGGGCAAAAGTGTTCTGAACCTAGTTCCCTAAAATATTTCAACACATTGCAGATTGATCATGCCTACCTCTCTTGGGATTTGACCCTCTTTTGATCACCTGTCATCTCCGGTCTCTATAGTCCCTAACGCGCCTGGCCTTCACCCATGTCAACCGACGCGGGTTCACCCTGTAGGGCCCACACTGGTGGGACGAGTGCCCCTACCCACCCAAGGGCGCCTGCACCGCCCCGCCAAATGGTGACTTTGACGGCTACGTGGAGCTCTTCGCGGACGCAGCCGAGAAGATCAGAGCGAGCCCTGACGTGAGTGCGGCCTCATGCGTGCGCGGTGCTGGCTGCCTGGCAGCTATGTACATGCCTAGCTAGCCAGGTCATTGGGGCGGTTGCTTCGGGCTGCGAGTTGAGAAGCAATGCTGCAGCGAACTCCATGCTGAAATCCGTCCTGCGCCATCTCCCAATCTTTTGCCCACTTCGGAACCCTGTGGGCCTGCAGGGCATCACGGGGGAGGCCTCCTCCAACACCTTCACTTCAGCTGCTGGAGTGTATCTGCGGTACGTGTTGGGGCGTGCGTTAAGGGATGTCGGTAACACATTAGCCATTCATGGGAAAGCCATGTGGTACAGGCGCTTCTAGGATTTGACACAAGGGGCCATGCTGTACAGAATCATGTTGCGCCGTAAACAGCATGTACAAAACAGACATGTTGATTCCGCATGTGAAGCGACCGGGCACCATCGCTTGCCCCTCCTCCCCGCCCATTCGGCCTCCCCCTCCCTCCCTCCCTCCCTCCCTGTCGCCTAATCCTTCCCTCCCTCCCTCTCGGCTTCAGTGGGCCCTCCTGGGACCGCAACACCACCGTGACGATGCCGGAGCTGATGCGGGAGGCAAGTCCCTTCCTCAGGAACATCATCATCTTCCGCAACCCAGTCGACAGATACTACTCGGCATTCTACTACTACAGGTGGGTGCGCACACAATACTGTGACGTTGCGGGCCGCTAACTTCTTGCCGAATGTCTTGGCCGCTGTCTGGCTGGCTGGGGACTTAGGGCGCGCGCTGGCGCAGGGGCCCTTGAAGAGGGCAAATGCCGAGGGTGTTGTGACTGCAGTTGCGTGCCGTGGGGCTGTTGGCGTGTCTTATCTACCTGTCCCAAACTGATTTGACTCACCTGCCTTTCACCCACTTCGCTCTGCACAACCGATCCCTTTCCCAACTTCCGCAGGTGGTGGATCAAGGACCAGCCGACTCCCGGCCCGGAGGACTTCCACAAGTCTGCTGTTCAGGTGAGGTCGCTTACACGTCAAGACCTGATCCTTTGGGGTCCACTGCGCGAAGGTTTACTACTCGCATGGGAGATGCGATTCAGGGATAGTGTCGCATTCTCCTGTTATGCAGAACGGGCTCTTGTGTTTCGGCGCGGTGCATAAGGGTGCGTGCTTTCGCAGGCTACACATGAGCTCAAGTTGCTCCAAAGTTGAGAGGCAGTGACGCGGCTTCTCGCCGTCATGCGGTGTGCGGGTGGCCCTGCAGGCCCGTGTGCCTTGCCCCTTGTTGACTCCCGCCCAACATGTGCATTTCCCTTGAAGCCAAGCTTCCTGCCAGCCACTCAGAATGTCTACCTTCACACGATTAGCCCTGTATGGCGGGCACCGTGATTCGGTATCTTGGTCTTGATGGTGGGCCATTTCCCTCGACCCCGCGGGCAGAACCACTACTGAACAAATTAGTTGCTGCCCTAATCTCTCGACGGCGCAGGAAATTGCTGAATGGCAGGCGTGCGTAGCGCAAAATGGCCAGAAGTACTGCGTGCGGCACTACCACCCGCAGCAGCTTATCAAGGGCATGTACTCTGAGTTCATTATGGTGAGCGGTGTTATGAATCACGGGCTTTCACATGCGCAGGGTAGAGGGTATACCTAATTGCAGGGGTATACCTAATTGCAGGGGTATACCTAATTGCAGAGGTCATTGCAGCAGCTGCTCGTCCACTAGCTAGCGCCTCCCTGGCCGATTGGGGCGGTCCTTGGCCCGATGCCCCTGGAAAGAGGCGGATAGACCCCGCAGACGTACATAAAAGGTAGCGAATGGACCCATGCCTCGCCCATCGGGCCTCATCCTTCGTCCCAATATGTCGCTGTGCTCTGAAACTCCAATTTCCCCCCCCCCCCCCCCCACACACACAGGACTGGCTGGCGAACTGGCCCCGCGATCAGCTGCTATTTCTACGTAACGAGGACTACAGCAAGACGCCCCGGGAGCATATGGAGGCGGTGCTCACATTCCTGGGCATGAGGCAGCCAACGGACACCGAATGGCAGACGGTGAGGGTCGCACGTCACACTTCGCGTGGCAACTGGCATGAGACCCAATGACCAGCTTGACCCTTGTCTGGCTGCTCGGCAATCCTTCTTTCCTTTCATGCGCTCCAGCATTAAATTTTGTAGCACTCCTGCAGCCCCTTTTCCGTTATCAATACTAATGCATGACGACGCAGGAATGAGCGAGTGGACGTAACTGCACGACCTATTTTGGCACATGGCCGGAGCGCACATGTCCCGCAAGCGTGATACCATTTCCAGTCCTGGTGATTTCTCATCTTGCCGCTTGGCACGTCATTCAGCTTTCATTATCCTCTTGCAGTGTTGATGTGTTGCCGTACCATCTTCCGTATCATCCAATCATACGTATCATTCTGTCCGCGGTCATCTTCCCTTCAGATCATGGGCATGGAGACTCGCAACAAGAACAGCGACAAGTACCAGAAGATGCTGCCAGAGACCAGGACCATGCTCGAGGTGAGGGCGACGGTCCGGGAGTGGGCAGTGGGGTAAGGGGCTGCCGACTTCCTTTCTGGTCTTGATGGCCTCCGGATGCTATTGAACTATTGAGTCCCCCACTTCCGCTCGCCTGCTCCTGTTCAGGAGTTTTACCAGCCTTACAACGAGCGCTTAGCGGATATTCTGAGCGACGACAGGTGCGATTTTGGGGTCACGTGAGCATGTGGCCTGTGAGCTGTCCAGGGGTTATCCAGAGTTGCTCTGCTCTGATGCGTGTGTTTACAGACGTTACGGTAGGTTTGCCAACCACCGCGACTTGCCTAACCCCGGCCCTCGCCATTCTATCTGGTCTCGCTTGGTTGGCTCCCAACCCATCCAAATGCCCCAGGTGGCTCTGGCGGGACCCTCCGAAGAAGCGGGCCATCGCCCGCACCTCCTTGCGTCGACATGCACGACGAGCTTGAAAGGGCGCACACGGACGCTGTAGCGCCCGTAGATCTGCCTGGGCTCATGCTGTGGTCCACTTTGGACAGCATAGTGGTTCTTGTGGTTCTTGTCACGCAACCCACATCGAGGCGCAGGCCGGCAAAGGCTTCGTCCACCTGACGTTGCTGCGGCCCCCATTAGCCCGGACGAGTGGTTTGCGGGGCGGAACGTGTCGTGGTTTCTGGTACTAAGTTAATTCACTAGAGATTTGCTCAGAAGGGTGAGCTCCACAGTTAATTTTTAGGTAGGTAAGTACGACCACCAAGTTCGTCAAGACCGTCAGTGGGGGCCGAGGAATGGGAGCGGAGAGGAGTTAGGGCAGGACTAAGAGCTTGCTCCTTCGCTTCCAGCTTTTGACTGGTACTTATGCGGGGCAAACCCGTGTGGCTGGGGACGGGATGGGACAAGCGGGCAGCCGCGTGCTCCTGTGTTTGCAGGATGTTTGGTTTTGCAATGGGCGCTGACTGATTATACGGGTAGCCCAGGCTCTGGCACGCTCTGACGTGATGGAAGACAGGTTCGAAGTCAGGAGTCAGAACTGCGTGAAGGAGAGGTCATGATTGACAAGGTGGTGTCGGCTTTCCCGAAGCTGGAAAAGGGCCGGGACCCCTTTAATCCGTGCAGGCCCATAGCTTGGCACTTGTGCACAAACTGCTGGGCTGTCTCGCTATGCAGAGGAAGCCAACACGCTTTGCAAGCGCAGTCTGTAAGCCGACGTTATAGGAGCAGTCGGGAAGCAAATGGTCAATTCGCGCGCGTCAGTCACCGATTCAATAAGGGACCGAGATAACTATCATCGCGTGAAGGGAATCGGCAGTACCACGTGCGAGGGTGATGTGAGATGTGAATTCCGGGTGCATGCCAGTACGGCGGCCAGATTTGGACATGACCCTCCGAGAGTCTCTAAAAGGTTCCAGAAGGATCAGCTACTGAACACATTTCTGAGGCATGGACACATGCGATCACCACAGCGCCGGCCTGTGAAGATGAACGCGCAGTGTCATGGTGCTTTGGTGCGGCCCATCGAAGAAAACCCTAAAACCCAAAGTGTAGGAACTTTGCGTAGTTTTGCGCATAGAACATCATCCCATTAGGCAAACGCTAGTTAAATCGTGAAGCGCAAAATGGTCGCGGAGAGAAGGTCGCGCCAGTTTGCATGTTCGAATCGCATGACGCCGCCAACTGCATGTCCTTTAATAAGAGATACAGCATCGTCTGGACGGAAATATAGCGCGAGAAACGTTAATGTGACCTTAACCTCGGTCCATGGAAAAAGCTAAACTTGTTTGTGCACACAGAGGGATGCAAAGATTAGGGATTGGGTTCGGGTACCGGTCAGGCAGGAATTAGGATTCGGAAAGAGGGGCAGGATTAGGATACAAAGTTGAGGCCAGGTTTAGGATGAGGACCCGCGTGTAGGATTAGGATTGGGACCCGGCCCCAGGATTAGGATTGCGACCCGGCCCCAGGATTAGGATTGGGACCCGGCCCCAGGATTAGGATAAATACCTATATCCAGGATTACGATTAGTACACTGGTATTGGATTAAGATTAGGGCACCGCAATGATTGGCAATTAGGATACTGCTATGTAGGAGGACTATCAAATCCAGCTACCGTTCAGACTGGGTTAGAAAGTTGCTATGCCATGTCATACTAAGTGATGTCGCGTGTGATGTGTGCGCTCATGCTCCTGATCACGGAAGCCATACGCTCCAGGAGCTCCAGCCATGCTTCTGACAGGCATCTGCTGATCAGTAAAATTGCGATAAAACAATCTGCAAAAATTGACGAGGACGGTCTAGACACGAAGACGTATGGATGGCGTCCGCGCCTCCTCCGGAACCAACTGCACGACATTGAGGGACGCTTCCAAAAGCAGTCGCGTGGTTTGCGTCCTTATAAAATATTAGTAGGTTAAATGTCGGAAACTTTATGAATAATTTTTCTACTATGCGCACGTGCTAACATTACTGGCTCAACATCATAGGTCGACATCGTGTTACGAGACATGTCCTGCTTATTGGGTTGTACTTCATAGCTGCGAAAGCCCCTGGTATTTATGGCATTGAAGGTCTCTGCTTCGCTGCCAGTGTGGATGGTGTTCCATTGGATCACCTCTCTCAGCTACTCCTTCCAAGGACGTGTTTGCTCTGCCTGCTTGTTGTTAATTCTCGGGCTTCGGGCTTTGTATGAATGAGCTTATTGTTATGCGCACATGTTAACATCTTTTGGCTCAATATCATACGTAGACATCGTTTCGCGAGGGATGTCCTGCTTATTGGGTTGCGCTTCATAGCTGTGAAAGCCCCTGGTATTTATGGCATGGAAGATCTCTGGCGCGCTGCAAGTGTGGATGGTGATCCATTGGATCACCTCTCTCAACGTGCATTTTATCTTCGACCGCCCCACAGTCGCATCTGCAGATGCTTGAATCAAGGTGTTTAGACGCATTATCCCTGCTTAAACTCTTCGTATGGCACGATACTGCAGAATTGGCCAGGATGCGCAGCTTCGTCAGCCTGCTTTTTATGTTTCAAGTTTTACTTCGTTTGATCATATACCCGCTGTAAAATTGCATTGGTTTTTTTACGCACTTGCATTGCCATCGCCTCGCGCCTGTATGGCACTGTGTGTTTCCGTGTCACGGCACCCTTCTATTAGCCAAAATTAAGGTTTTACCGAAATAGGGGGGTCCTTGTGAAGCAGCTGCCCGCGTTTCCAAAGCACGTATGGTGTTGGATTGTAAGGTGCCACAAGTACGTTTGCGAGGAAGAGAATGTGGCCAGGCTGGAGAGGAAAGTGCAGTGGCATATTGGAATGTGAGATTCACGTAAGCGAGTTACAGGGCGTTTTATTGCACGGGCGAATTTACGTGCAAATCTTTCACCGTAGCATCAGTCCTCAGTTCACTTCTTGAATCGAACATCAGCATAGGTGCAAGCCCTCTCGCTTGGGGGAATATGCAAACAAACATCCTGATAGGGGTAAACTCGCACGCTAGCACATGCATGCTTAGTTGAATGGTGAGATGCGACCCCCCCTTCATTTCGTGCTCGGCAAGCCTGCCACCGCGTACCGGATATGTTGGCGATGTTACAGAACGCTGCACCTTGGTTTCTGTGCTCATTGCGTACATTGCTCGACCCCGCCGACCAAAACTACACGTGCCCAACTGAAGACATTCCCGGTGGTTGTGCAGCAGCTCTTGAGGCTGTTGCTGGCTGAAATCCATCCTGAGCTGTTGCAACACGGCTAACGCGGGCACGTCCCTATGCACAGCAAATAGCTGTTCCAAGCCAACAGCGGCGTCCATGTCACCGACAAGGCTCTAAACGTCTTATCTGTTCTTATGTTTAATTAAGTTTATGTATGTTATACTTTGCGCAACTTTGTAATTGACTTTACTCTGAACAAGGTGCTGCATACAACTGCCTCTTCGCCAGCGCTTCATCTTCCGCGGCAGTTTCACGAGCCCAGAGTTGCAAGCTACGACGTTGGCTTTCGGTGCTTTTATTTACTGCAAAGCATCGACGCAATAGTCCAGCGTGCGGCTATGGCCAACATGCTCACCTGCGCAACGCGCTGGCGCACCTGGTCCTCATCCGCCAAGAAATTTTATATACATTTGTACAGGCGCATTTTGCGAATCGCACGCGCGCATCTGCGCGGCAAAATTCGCTCCTGACTTTTGGGACGAGATGTACGGAGTCTCTATTCGCGAAGTACGACCGGACACATTTGTGCGAGAGGCTGCTTAATCAGTCACACGATAACAGCTCCACGATAAGGATTACGACACGACCAAGAGGATTAGGATTGGGACCCCAGCCTCAGAGTTAGGATTGCGGTCCGGCCCCAGGATTAGGATTGGGACCCCCCCCAGGATTGGGATTGGGACCCGGCCACAGGATTAGGATTAGAACCCCGACCCTAGGATATGGATTAGACCACCACTCTGGATTAGGGATTAGAAGTGGTCCACCCCTGTTGAGATTAGAGGATTGCTGACCGGTACCCACCCCCTGGATTAGAGGATTAGGACCACTTTGCACCCCTCTGACAGTACAAATGCAAGTCGCACGCATATGGGATAGAACACGGCAAGCATGGTCAATGACAATGTAGATATATTGTACTGCACGCTAACGAGCAAACGAGCTGAACAAACACGCCCATATTCGCATTCTGTCCGAAGGCAGGCTATAAACAAGCACCGGGATATAGCGTGTAGCTTGACAGCTACTATCAACCCGTTGCAAGAGCACCTCCTCAATCTCAAGTTGCCGCGGGGACGGGTCCGACTCACTTGTGGAACGCCGAAGGCCCGGGGCTCAGCTCAGCCAACACCAAGCCAGGCTCGGTCCTTCCTGAAAACAGCCTTGCGGCACTCTCGTGCTGCCCCTTCCCCCATCTTCCCCGCGTGTTCACTGCCCGAGCCTCGTGGCACTTGGGAGAGGGCTTTTGCCGATTTCAGAGCTACAAGCCTTTCTGTTGGGAGGCCAGTTTGAAGTTTAGTTGGAGCGCCAGCTGTGTCTTCAAGCTATTGCAGCCTGGCCCCAGATGTCTTTCTCGTCACGAACAGCACGATTGAGTTGATTTACGCAACAGCAGCGACCCCTTACACAGCACCAGTCGAAAGCTCATCTAGGCGCAGCGGCTGTAGCGTAAATGGTATTGACTGTAGCAGCCATCTGGTGGTGATGTTGTACGAGTCTGTACTGTTGCGGTACGGCTCCACAGGGATGTTAGACACCACTCCTGCCATGTCCTCGGCCTGCAAGTGTTCGGCAATGCATAAAGCACAACACGAGCAGGCCCACTCAGAATGCAGCGTGCGTGAAGCTCCTCAGCATAACGGCCACGAAAGTGCCCCTGACTTGCCGTTGCTTAGAGGACCAGATCAAATGGCCTTAACCTCCAGCCTTTGCTGCGGTTTGCGTATTGTCCACAGCCTCACCCTCCAGGTGTGGCCTCCGTCCAAAGCCAAGGGGGCGCAGTATACGCAACACCGAAGGCTTCCCATGAGACCCCTGCCTCGTCATTAACCATAAACTGCCGACGGACAACCCACACACGCCATGAGCCCCTTGCCGGTGAGCTCAAATGAAAGACGTTATCAATTCCTGTTGGGCTTCTTCGGCCTCTGCTCGCCCTCCACACCAACTACACTCCCTGCCCACAACCCTCTCACCACGACCTCCGCAAACACCGTGAAGGCCCCGCCCCACTCCGTGTGATCTGCGGTGCCAATAAAGAAATCCGACGTATCCCCAATGAAGGCCGCCGTGCCGCGCCTGCAAGCACAAGAATGTCGATGTGAGGCATTAGGGGGGCTTCACGGCTGGTCGGCGAGCTAGCAAAGGACTGGTGCATGGACCCGTTTCCTCCTTCCCTTAACGACGGAGCCAGATGGCATACAAGATGGCAAAATGAAGTACAGCGCAACGGCCTGGCAGGTGTTGCTATCGAATGCCTGTGTTCTGGACGCCAACAGCACGATTGGCATGAGGGGGAAATGACGGCGCCTAATCCTAGGGCCTCATCAGCACCGCTGCTAGTGAACCGCTGCAACGCAGCCCAGCAAGCCCGTCCACGAGCAACCTCCATGCGCCATGCCGGCCGCTTTCCCCGCACCAATCCCGACTGCCAGCTGCTGCTGAGCAGGCAGGTAGCTGGCCCCCGGGAAGAGTAGAAGAGTTGGCCCCACCTCATCCGCGCTTTACACACCTCTCACCCAATTTGCATAACCTGCTCCATTCCAAGCTTCCAGGCCCATCTATACGCAGGGGTTTGGAGCCCAGTACAACACAACGCACTCACATAACCGGTAGCAGTTTCGCGTTTTCCATTTTAACCTTGCTCAGCATCCCGGGGAGGCCACCCTGGAGTAGCGCATACGGCGGGCCACTGAAACCGTTGACGCCCCAGTTCTACAGCGACAGCGGCGGTGCAGCAGCGAGAGGGAAGGCATCAACCACCGCAGAGAAGCACTCTTGCCTCAGGGTCATCATGGCGCAAGCCAGGGAGTGTGCCCGGACGGCGCCGGAGAGGGACACCAGGAGCACATGCACATCCGTCCGAGGACCCCGAGAATGAGAGGACACCATCGCTGCCGTGAATGTTCTCAACCGCTATGGAAGGTGAGAACTATGGAAGGGAGGAGAACGCCAGCCTTAACAAAGCGCGCGCACCTGGGAAGTTTGAGCACGGCTATGCGACTATGCGAATACGCCGACCCTCTCTCCACGCGCACCACGACGCTACAAAAGCAGACTCGACATGTGTCCGCGCACGGACGCCCCACATTCACCCGCACTGCAACTGGCTCCTTACCCTTTTCCCAGCTGCCCCTACCAGAACCGACCAAACTGACCAGTGGCACGGGCTCATGACGATAAAAGCTACAGCCGGAACATTCCCGTGATGTGCCAACCGCCATGGCGGCTATAGCCTCACATGCCTTTGGGGCCCAGTCCCGACGCAAACGAAGTCGAATCTGCGTGCGGGAGGTTGGAAACAAGAACACTGATGCTAAAATTTCCGGAGAAGGTAAATCGATTACGATGTCGTCTATTTTCGTCTGGGGCTTCGACTGTGGATGCGTGGCCTCAGGGTTAAGGGTTTCGGGGACCAACTGAGGCTTGAGACGCGGAAAGGTCAGACCGGCAACAGCGGTGGAGCCAAAGAGCGGTGACAACAGCAACAGCGGCAGCAAAAGCCAAGAAATCACAAGGTGATATCTATTGTTGCGAGGGAGGGGCGGGGCAACAGCGGGCAGCAATCTGCCGCCTCTATTTTATTTAATCACGTCGCGATAAGAACCATCATGCAATGACAACTTGGCCCTGTCGACAGCGCTCAACGGCCCAAATCCCCGAACGCGGAATGGCCGCCGATGCCAATGTGTACAAATTGGCATCCCAGAGAATCAGCAAGCAATTTTCATAAGAGATGGACTGCTACCGCCACGCATAAATTCGATAGCTACGGCCTCTGACCTGGCCGTAAGTTGAAACCAGCGCAACAGCCGCGATGGAGCCAGGATCCAGTTCATCCCTTGACCGGCTGACTACGCCGCAAGATAAAACAAGCTCGTGGGCTTTGGATCTGCCTTACGTGAAGCACGTAACCTGCTGCACGCGCAGCCCTAAGTTCGGGCCCGTGGATTCAGAGAAAATCTTGCCTTCGCTGTAAGTAATGAAAGCACCCTGCCTCGGAACCTCTCCAGCGCAGGGTCGCAAGCCAAGGAGGCTACAAAGTAGCGCAACGATATGGATAGTCCAGATCATTTTTCTTCTCTGTCTCTAACTTTTATACCCTGCGCTACCGTTATTTCGCTGTATTACACATAACAGGCGCCCCTTATAAGTCACGTATCATTGGCAGTTATTTTGCTAGCCAGTTCACAAACGGCGCGCACAAACCTAGAGCCTAAACAATGCCTCGACCTGTTCAGATAAGACAAAGAGGTTGATTTCTGGTGCGAATCTACACAGCTGCTCGTCCGTCGTACCAAGCTGGTGCCAGTACACTCCGGGCTTGCGCATAGCTGGATCACCCCTGTGCTTTGGTTGATATGTCCATAAAATCTCTTTCCTCCAATTGTGAACGCCCCTTTCCCGTCACCCCCAACGCAAGTGCCTTCGAGAGGGCAGGCTCTGAGGTGCACAAAGATCCGAATGGCAGGCCTGGCCTACCCTCATTGACGATGCATTTTTCCTCGGGTCAGCCCCACCAGCTGTTACGAGTCTTGATATAATGGGAGCTTTGCGATCCTTGTCAATGCTTTCCTTTCAGGGAGAGCTACCTTATTTTCTAATCACCTAGATAGCGTATCACGTTGTGATGCAGCTCACGTGTATCACCTCATACGCCACTGTCTGCGGTACCTGGGTTTCCATCAAGCATTGATCGGCAAATCCAGGATTTGAATTCCTGCGAGTACTGCGAGTCCGTACCACAGTACCCGCAGCCGAAATTCGTCTTAAGGCCCCGGCTGCGGGCCTCAAGGGCCAAAATTCGACCAAAAGACGTGACTTGCAACCTTTTCTTTCGCCCGTAGGGCCGCGCGCTGGACTTGAACTCGGTGTTTGAATTTGTAAAAGACTGTCACGATCACCTCTATACAACTCGGCGACGGTTATTGCCGATAAATCACCACAGTTTTAGCGTCTGCACGGATGACTTGCAGCTGCCGCAGCACTTGAGGGCGTCGACTTGGTCAAAGCGTTCCATGTGGGCTATCCTGAATTTCGTCTGGCATCTTATTATCCCTTCGGCATGCTATTTAATTGCTGGCCGCGGCATGTCGGCAACCTCTCGCCGGGGAATGAAGGAAACGCGGGCCGAAATCTCCAGCGGCCGACAACGCACGTTAGCATGCTGACCGGATGTAAAATCACCGCTGACCCCGCAGCAATAGATACTGCGGCGGTAGAGCCGTTACTTGGGCCAGCATGCTGGCCTGCGTGCGTTGTCGGCCGCTGGAGATTTCTGCACGTGTTTCTTTTGTTCCCCGGCGAGAGGTNGCCGACATGCCGCGGCCAGCAGTCCGAAGGCATGCCGATGGAATAAGTAAGGTGCCGACGACAGGATAGCCCACATGGTACGCATCCCTGGGTGTGTTTGGCTGTTGCCGCAAGGAGCTGAACAGTCTTTCTTTCGGTATCCACTGCGCTAGCCATCGCCTTGCTCTGGCCGTGAAGCATGCTGATACACATCGCAATAGCAGTCCTGAGCGCAAGTCCATGACCGGGTCCGTCGATGGCGCCCTCCATAGGAGCGCACGCTGTGTTTTCCAAGTCTCCAAAGCGGCGTGAGGACTACAAGGCTCTTTGCGCAGTGCTGGATGTTCTGGCAAAGACCCTCAAGCCTTTTCTTGTCACATGGTAGGTAACTAGCATTTCAGGCTTTCGTACGTTGTTCGGGCTTCGTGTGAATTGTGGGGATGCACTAAAGAGGGGGCTATGGATACGGTGTTGTACTCTGCACTGCTACTCTCAATTTCCTTGTAAACCCTGTGCTCCCTGTGCTTGTGCCTCCCTGCAGCTGGAGCAGTCGGTTCCAATGCATGAAGGATCTGTTGCCACAGCTGAAGGCCTTCCTGACCTTCCTGTGGCTGGATGCTGTCAATGTAGCCTCTTCCTCCCCAGCTGCCAGCAATGTGACGAGGCCAGCTGCTCCGGTCACCGGCAAAGTAACAAAGCCAGCTGCAACAGGTGCTGGCAATGTTACTCAGCCAACTGCCAGGGTCACCGGCATTGTTATGCAGCCCATGGTTCTGCAAACAACACATCCAGTACAGCCCATGGTTTCTGTTGTATCACGTCTTATCGCAGGAAAAGAACCGATCGGCGGACGTCAATCCCGTGATACCCAGGATACTACAATTATCCCCCATCCAGAGCGGAGGGGGTCCTCGACCGTTCATCTATCTCAGGGTACCCGAAAGATGTCAGCATCTACTGGAAACCATCGGCAGCAGGACGTAAGGAGAATCGAACCCGGGTCGAGACTGGGACACCGAGTCTCGATACCAATTTGCTGTATCACGTCTTATCGCAGGAAAAGAACCGATCGGCGGACATCAATCCCGTGATACCCAGGATACTACAGTTCCCCCAAGTCTGCACCGCATGACGCCTTGTATGCAGCGATCAGCGCAATTCCACAGCTTCCCAATCAAGTGGTGCTGATACGGGGTGTATGGCGCAGATAACAGTGATGACAGCAATTATGAGCCACATATGGATTCAGGTTCTGAGGCTGACGAGCTGGAGTGTGATGAGCATGACCCGAGGGCTGAGGAGGTGTTCTGCACCTTGCATGCACAGCTTACAGATTTCCGGATGCTGGTGAGCCTGCACTTCATGTGCAATTGCTAGTGCAGACCAATGGTGTGTTTAGGCTGATGCAAGCCCAGCAGTTTAAGTTTTCTGAGATTGCTGGTGCTGTTGCGGTGGTGCAGTGCTCACTGCTGAAGATGTGCAGCCAGGGTAGTACACACTTCCTGCACTGAAGTCCTTATGGTGACGAGGGGGGTCAGGGATTCCCAAGCCTCTTGCAACCAACTGCAACTGCCAGTTGCCAACTGCCCTAAGCAAGTCGAGATCAGGTGTCCATCACTGCAAACTTATTGAACGGGCCACCTGGAAGACCTCATCCAGGTCTCCTCTGGTTCTCCTGTATCTGAACAGGTTTCTTAACCACCGTCCCACAGTCACCACCCTGCTGCCCTCCCCCGTGTGCACTTATGAGTGAGGAGGGCCGCCATGCAGTGGTAGTGGCAGTCATGGTTGAGATGCTGAAAATGCTGTGATGTGACGTAGCAGTGGGACCCAGAGAGTAAGGGGCAAGGCATCTGGGAGGATTTGACAATTTGTTGATGCACATTTGTCTTTGGACCTGATTGAAAGCCGGCTCACTGGGTGCACTGACAAGACACAGAAAACGGAGGTGAAGCGGAAGCTCTAAGCCAAAAGTGCTTTAAGTCATCAATGCCTGCATAAGTGGCATGTCCACAACGTAAAGTAGGAAGAACGTAAAGTAGGAAGAAGGAAGGTTGCAACTGCGGAGACCTCTTGACTTCCCGAGTTCCAGTGGTGAGGCATCAGGGAAATCTGACGTCGCGTGATAATCCTAATGGCCTCAGACAGCCATGACAGCCAGTCGAAGGAAAGAGGACGCCCGAGCATGACGGGTCAAGAGCAACTGCAGTTTGCCCCCAGAGGCCTTGGGAATGCTGCCGCACCTTACCTCTTCATGCAGACTCCTTCAACTCAGTCATCAGCAACATAGCTTCTTAGTTGGACGAGTTCTACTTCTAGTGCATCAGGTGTTTAGAAAGCAGCGTGCCATGTCAACTTTCTGTGTTTTCGAACAATCGGGTGCTTCATTACCACAGCTGTGGCGGCGGGATCGGCCTGTACTCCCTCCCCCTGCGTTTTACTTCCTCCACCCTACATGCCTTTCGCTCACGCACTCGCATGTTCACCGCAAACGGCACCAACATCAACTGTTATGGTCCTTCCCTTATGCCTCTCCTCCCACTAGGGCCATATACCTTCAACAAACGTTAAACCGTAATTTATGCTGAAACTTCGCTAACCTATTTAACGAAAAGAGCATTTCTTCAACACGCTCAATGACCCAGGCTCTTGCACACATGGTTTCAGGGTTTGCGGATGCGGATTAAATCCACCACGAACTTGTCACCGTACACTGCAATAACTCTCACCTTGACAGAGAACACATCCTGGGCAGTGAAACTACTGAGTGAGCTGCCCCGAGTTGAACAGTTACACGAGCCGCATAACCTCAATCGTGGCGGGGTTCAAACCCACCTGGAAATAACCCCCAAGGGCCGGATCAAAAACTTAGACCACCCTATCCATGCCCATTATGTCATCCACTTCCCCCGCACTGGCTTCATCTCTTCCTCATCCGCACCTCTGTGTGTGGGGCCCGATCCTTCGGCAGCACCGGCAGGTTCTTGCCGTCCGCACATATGCCTTAGACACCTGCCAGTAATCGCAGCTATTGGAGGTACTCAACTCCGGCAGGAGCAGCAGCAGCAGCAGCAGGACCACGGTGCCTCCTCATGTTGATTGCAGACCCAGGTTCATGCGGACAGACAGTGAGGAACAAGCGGGGAAGGCGTGTCTGTGGACAAGTCAGCATGCATGTGTCGATTACCGGGAATAGCATATCAGCGCGCGATTATACCTCTACAGTACGACACAGGAAACCCTAAGTATACGGCATTAAGGCTTCTGTCCTGTGTGTCACTGATGTACCGCATATTGCACTTGTTGAGGTATAATTGCACGCTCGGTATGCTATTCCCGGTAATCGACACATCACACGTTGGCATGTCCACAGACGCGCCCTCCCCGCTAACCAGGTTTGTGGCCTGTGTCCTGCGGTCTCCTTGTTCTGCCCTGCAGCGGCGTCGTTCCGTTCCCCTCGCAGTCAACACGGGCTGCCTCGAGCTCAGCTGTTTCTGCAGATCCACAAACCTAAACCCGCCCTAGAGGCGCAGAAGCCCCTGTGCGGCCGTCCAGAACCGAGCTAATATGGGCCGCTGTATGCGCTGCTGCCTGGGCGCACCATGGCCTCAATCGGTGGAGAATCCCGCAGCACAAGGAGCTTCGGAGAAGGCTTTGAACCAACCTCGCTGCGTATTTTAGCGACGTCATGGCGGCTGCAATCCCGCCGCGTGTTGAGTCCACGGCTTCATGCCCGAATGTCATCCTCTCCGTCTACGTGCGTGTGCTCCTGCCAAATCCGGTAGCATCGTGTTACAAGGCTGCCAGGAAAAGTCGGCGAGTCGAGATAGGGCAAGGGCGTGCATCCCGGAACAAGGCTTTCAACTCGCACGCTGCCGAAACCGTCCTCACGTGTGTACAATGTGTACACCGGCTGCAACCAGCCGGGCCCACACACACCCGCCACAGATATCGCCTACTGCCTTTCCCCATTGTGCATATGTCTTTTTATGTTCCACCTGTTCCGAAGGCGGCCGCCTTCCAAGCCACGTTCGCACGAAACGCCAAAAACAGAATTGTGCACGCGTCAGAAAACACCCCCTCCAGGCTACCTCCCTCCCTGATCATGCAAGGATCTGCACCATCAGCCGCAGCAACGAAAGTTCCCAACCCCGGGCCTCTTGCAGCACGGCATCACCACGCCGCCAGCCTACAGCAGCCACCCGCCTACCGCCTCAGCATCCACTACTCTACCTGCTAGAACATGAAAAGCTTCCTGCTTGCTGCAACCGTGTCCGGGTCCAGCCTGCATATGGATGGCAGCGGGCCCTTCGTCCTCGTGAACACGTACAGTTACCACAGTGTACGAGTGAGTTTATTTCATGTAAAGTTGCTTGTGCAGTAAACGCAACCAACACCCTAACCACACCCTAACCGCATAAACCGTAACCTGTCACACGCACCATACCCGGGCGGCCGCGCAGAGCTGGCACGGCGTACGGCATGTTGCGCCGCAACTAAAAGCCCTACATACGGTCACGTCGTACTGCAAAGTTGGAAGTTGTGCCAGTGCACTCTATTCCACTTGGTTGCAAGATGGCTGGGGGCACAGCAGGGCCCGTAACAAGGTGATGTCATCGATTGCCGCCAGGGCTCTCACCACCACAGTTCACGGAGCACCCTCCGCCGACTAATCCCCAATCGATTTGCGCGCATCTCCGGGGGCCCCCAGCAGCCGCCAGCTCTTTTGCACATCTTTAACCTCCCGCAGCCTCAAGCAGCGGTAAAGCACACACACCGACACAGGCGCGCACACAGACACACACACATACACACACAGGCGCACACACATACTTGTGAGCAATGGGATGTTCGCATGCTGAAGAAGGCCTGCTTGGGGGCCAACAGGCTGCGAAGCCAGGGGGCCGTATCGGGACAGGAACAGTAGTGACGTCAGCAGCGGCCTGGGGTGACTACTTAGGAGTGAGGCTGCACGGCCCGACTGGGCCCTGTGTGTACATGTGCGAAGAGGGGAGGCGTTGCGTCGGTGCCGAACAGAGCACAAGCCATGATGGGTGCTTCACCAAGCACGCCGTTGCCTGCCGCCGCCGCCGATGGGGGGGCCATGGAGCAAGCCAAGCCAAGCCAAGCCACCGCCGAATGCTGAATGCGAACACCAAAGAAAAACCCTTAGTCCCTGGCCCTGCCCCCCAAACCCGTTCTTTTTTCCTGTACACAAGTAAAATAATCTGAAAAAAAAGCGCGAGCGTAACCGCGCTCTTCGGACATTGCCTGCTGAAAACTACAAGGCTTGTTATTCTCTATAATAACCCCTCTCGCCTGCGGCAATATCCTACCGGCTATCCATTACCTCAAGCAAGCATTTGCTTCCAAGTCTCAACCAGCAGCACCTTCAACCTAATCATGCAATGCACGCCCGCACAGCGGAGAGGTAGGAATCCCGGGGCGCCGCCTCGAGTTCATCCGACCCTGGATACCCAGTAACATAACAATAACAGTAACAGTAACACACGCGCCACATCATCTAGTGTGCAGGAAAAGGGTGAGGACTGAGGAAATCCAGGGAGGTTAAGGCCAGGGCACGATTGCCAGATTGTCAGGCCCAAGGATGAATCCAATGCGCTTGTCGGTCCATACGTGCGCTGTCGATAGCAAATCGGCGCCGGAGTAGACGGAGGCCTGCCATGATGATGATGATGATATGGTAACGATGACGAAAAGATGCATCATCATCAGGATCCAATCAATGCGGATCCTGAGCGCGGGGTGGTTCCCTTCCCAGCTCAGCACCGTCTAGGTGGCCAACAAGAGGCACGAGCACACGGACTTCTGCCTCCAAATTTGTACGAAATACCTATCTCCAATTCTTTGTCCCTGCACCCGCCACAATACCCTTGTCTGGTAACGAGCCGACTGCGCGGCCTGCGGCATATAGCCGCCCGTATACATCATCGTCGCCCTGAACTCCTCCTTACCCCCCAACTCCTTTCCCCCTGCCATTTGCATGAATGAGCACTGTCGCGCTCGAATTTCTACAAGCCATGACCGCATCTTCGTCCAGCCTTGTTCGGGAGGGACAGCGTGTTGATGTGGGCAAGAGGGCGGCCAGCGGGTATGGAAGGAAGCACGCTTTGAGTGTGCGCTTGGCGAGTGTGCTGAGCTGGACCATCCACAAGCGCGCCTCCTCGCGTACATATGCCGCGCCCTGAATGCGCCCCCATGGGCCATGCAGCGTACTCTTACCCTGTACCCATGCTAGTCGATCAGCTTGACGACCACACGGGTCGCCAATCCAACAGCGAAACATCCGCTCCCGCCTCATCGCCACTCCATCGCCATCACCACCAACAACACCACAACCAGTAACATCCGGGCCCCATGAAACAAACAAACAATACCATGCTTCCCACAATAGTCAGCAGCAGGCAGTGCTGCCGTCGCCATCCTAACCGAACCCACTGGGGCCCGCCGCGTCACTCGGCTAAAGCGGTTTCTTTATTCGTTCGGGTCAATGCAACGAACATTTCTCGGTTCGCACGGGCTTAGGAATTTCAAATGCAACACATGTCGATCGCCAATTATCACAACGACGAGTCACCCCTCCCCCTCCACCCAGATGTCTACATAAGCGCCGAACACGTGATACACGCAGCACGAAAACAGTGCTGCCTGCAGTTGCCACATTCTCAATTAGTTTAGTCGGCAACAGAGTACATACCTGCTCCGGAAGCAACTAAGAGCATCCCCTACCCTTGCCCTTTCCCCTTCGTGGCATTCACTCGGGCCCTTATGCCCCATATACCGATATGCACTGCCGGGAGTGGGGGCACTGGGGTAGAGGCCTCTACACACGTACACGACATCTACAGCTACAACGCACGCCCATGGCGGGCCTCCCGCCAACGACGCATAAATGACCGTGGGGTCAAAATTTAGGTAATAAGCACCAGCAGCAGCTGCATCCGTCGCTCGCGATAACAACGCTTTGTGCACATTGTGCAATTATGTTCACAATTTTATAGCAGACGCCCTTCCAGGGCTGTACACCACCACTACCACCACCATCATCATCATACTTCAAGTCCCACCTCAAGTCCCGGTGCGTGGTCACAGTGGTAGGCAGGTGGTCACAGTCACCGGAATATAAACAATTGGTGCTCATTCGCTCTTAACCATGCTTCTCTATCATGCCCTCTCTTCCGCGTCACCCACCCATCAACAACAAAGCGCAGAACAGCACCGTGCAATATGGAGCAACAATATGGAGCAGCACACCGAGGACTCGCAGGACTTGCTCCTGCATTGCGCCTCCGGGCGGCCAGGCTGGTCGGGAAGCTGGCCGGCCATTTCTCGCCGGCGGGGCATATCGGCTGGGGGATCGGCTGCCCGGCGGGAAATGGTGACAGTCTTAATCTACCAAGTCACCCGTTACCACCATCGGTGTAAGCTACCAGGGCGCCGAGCAGATCCAGAGCTCCCTTACGCGTCTCTTGACGCCGGCTGCTAGCTAACCCAAGCTGACCCACATTGCCTGACTCGCGGCTCACAAACACAAACAGGCCATTCAGGTCCGCGGGCCGGTGAGCGGGCGGGAAGCTGGGCAGGTGCGTGCCACGACCCCCGCCCCTAACACGCACACACGCACACACGCACACACATACACACAAGCGCAAGCATGTTCTCAGCTTGACGCGTCATCGACACTTGATGGCCAGGTTTCCCATTATGCTGACAGGTGGCGATGGTGGCGATTGTATTGGTGAGGATGACGACGATAATGACGATGACGACAGGGTTAAAGACGGCGGTACCGGTCAGGTCGTGCTTCAGCCGGGGAACCAGAGAAAGGGTGGAGGAGGTGCGGCCGCAAGCCCTCCTCCCCTCACCCCTCGCTCCCTCGGCAGCAGCAGCAGCTCCGAAACCACAGCAAGTAAGAAGGCAAAAGATGCCCTGCATCGTGGCTTGAGACCGACCGTCGATTTAGGAGAGGGGACCAGCGCAGCGCCACCTCCACGCTGCTTCCCCCCCCACCCACCCACCCAGCCCACTTCAACCACCGTTACTTGCCCCTCCCCATCGACAAGCGCACGTCACCCGGGTCCACCTCCCCCATGACTCTCCGCTGCTCCGCCACCCAGCTCCTCACGTAGTTCAGCTCAGCGTGTATGGCCTTAAACTCGGCCTCGGTGCTGCTTCGGATTTCCTTGAGGTGGGGCTCCACATCCCGCTTGAGCGCCTGGATGCCGTCACGTCGTCAAGGGAAACGGAAGATGCGCATTCCGGGGGACACGTGCAACGTTCACACAGGACGAAACGCGGATTGGGTGATTACGAAGGGATCAACAGCGGGGCATCAACGGCGGTCTGAGTTTCGACAGCCGAGCATAAACAGTCCCGCACTCGGAAGCTACCCCACCAACAACCTTCGAGCAAACACGTGTCCATGCTTTCGCCACACCCGTCAGCACCCAAGCGCCCCATCCGGCCCTGTCTTCGCGCCCACACAACGCCTACCACCCACAGATCATCATCGCCATAACCCACATACCTGGGAAAAGGCCCGCATTCGACCCTTCCACTCCCCTTCCACACTCTCCGACGATGCCATGAATTTGTTGAACTTGTTGTCGGCCGGAACCAACACGTGGAGGTAATCGCCCAGCAGCCGCGCCTGGTGAAAGAGAGGAGGGAAGGAGGGAACCAGGTAATGATTGAGGGGACGCGAGGTGGCGATTAAAAAGTTGCGCTAAAAGCCCCCTATCACGGAAGCCGTCTACTCTCCACTTTCCCCACCACCCCCGCATACGGGCCCCCGCTGGTCACTTCGTGCAGGACTTCGTTTCCAAAATTACAATTCCCATTGCCTATTTCCCACTACTTGCTGTTGTCCTGCCTGCATGCCAACACATGCACAAAACACATGCATGCCTGCAAACCCTATAAATACCTTGTATATACCGTATGCATGCCGCCCCAACAGACCTGCAGCTTGTCGCGCATGTCCTTCGTGAGCAAGGACTCCAAATCAACGATGAGACGCGCCCGGTTGTGAAGCACCTCAATCTCCTCCGTCTCCTTGATTCGGTCGTACGTGTCGTTCATGATGGCAATCAGCAGGTTGACGAGCACGATCAACATCAGGATGCCGTACACACTCATCAGCATGACGCTCAGCCGAGGGACGTACCTGGAAGCGTGTTGGGAGAGAGAAGGGGGATGCGGGGTGAGGGGCGCAGCAGAGGGGGTTGGAAATAGGGAATGTAGGCATGCGAGGTGGGGGACTGGGGCTGCTGGATTCACGAGGGGTGGCGAGGATGCCATACCCAACCCATAAAGCATGATAACTTTGCAAGCTCTCCCCCCTTTACCTCTGTTTCCTCCCCCCTTTCCCCATCTTTTACACCCTCATCCCTTCCTCGCCTGTTTACCCCCCCCTTCGCCAAAATCCTGCTGACCCTCCCTCCCCTCCTCCCCCTCTTCCGCCCCCGCACCCACCCGCCTTCTACAGCACTTTCCCCGCCCCCCGCTCAGATTGCCCCTCTTACCATTGCCTCTCGTTTGGTTTCTCCACCACAGTCAGCATGCTCAACAGGTAATCGAACTGCCAGTCGCCCAGCATCACGGAGAACAACTTGAACGCCACGCCCTCGTACGTGTTTCCGGGGCCCTATGGGGGTCGGCGGCCACCGCGGTTTATTACGGCACAGTCCCTCAACCAGGTTCCCACCAAGGGGGGTAAGATCTCTGGAGAAACACTTTTCACAAGGGGGAACAGCGTGCGGCGATGTGGAAAAGGACGACAGAAAGAATCACGAGTCTAAGGAGTCCAGGAGACGAGAAGTCCTAAGTCAACGGCATCGTGCTATAATTCCGGCCGTAACCAACCCACACGACCATCGCCATTCACGGCCCTCGTCGCAGCACGACTTGGAGCAGCTCCAGCCGCCACGCCGCCAACTGCTTCCCAGCCTCTAGGAGCTCCTCTTCTTCCTTCTCTGCAGCCACCCACGCTGCGTGCCCCACCCCGACACCACCCGCCTGACTTCGTCGCTCGCGTCCACCTCCTGGCCAGTCAGCCAACCAAGCCCCTTAGCCACCCAGCTATTTCGTGTCACCCCAGCTATTTGCACCCCTCCCCATCCGCGGTGGCTCTTCTCACCAGCAGCACCGCAAAAGCGATGGCGAAGCCGCCAAAGATCATCCCCAGCAGCGTGAAGAAGTGCCTCATGTCTTTCATGATCTCAATGACCATGCGCATCAGGCTGCCCATGGAATCCGTCATGGAAGCGAAAAACACCAGCCGTACAAACAGCACCAGCGTCTCGATGGCGCCCACCGCCAGGATCACCTCGTACGTGTAGCATGACCACACCATGCCGAACAGCACCATGAACAGCGCAAACGAGGTGAGGTCCACCAGGTTGCCCAGGTAGTTGCGCCACGTGCGCCACGTCAGCTCCATCATCTGGGGCGGTGTGGTAGATTGGGTGGATGGACGGACGCAAGAAATAGCGTATGGGTGTGGGTGTGGGTGTGGGTGTGGGTGTGATGAAAATATGCACACACGCACACACACACACACACACACACACGCATACACACACACACATCGACTCACGCATGGACTCGACCATTTCCTAACTGCCACCCACCTGCGACACTTCCTCCGCAAGGCCCCCCACGCTCATAAGGCCCAACACAATCAGCAGCGCCATCACCTGCGGACGCTCCCGGACCTGTACGCGGACAAAGACGCGAGGGCAAGAGAGAGGCCGCAGAACGCGGGCCGTTAAATAAATGGAGGTGGGGACTATTGGAAGGGGAAGTACAACATGCCCAATGTGAAGCTGAGGCCCACAGATACCATGTGACCATGACCGCAATCAGCGGAATGAACCTGGGAGAGAGAGAGAAACAGAGCAACACCAACAGCGGTTCTGGTTCCGGAGCTATTCCCATATAATAACCCTCCACAGCCCCTTTTCCCCTCCTGCGGGACGGTCCGGGATTCTCCACTTCTTCCCCGACCCTTCTCCTCCCTCATCTCCCCCACCCTCATTCGCCAACCCCCACCCCCTCGCCTTGCACATGTCGTGCGTCTCGTGCACATTCTCTCGTTCCCCAACGCTCCGCAGCAACATTAGGAAGCCCCCGAACAGCGACATGAATATGACGTGCGCCAGAGCCGACATGAGCATCAGCATCTGGCCGAATTCCTCTGCGAGGCAAAAGAAAGCGCAGGGAAAGGTGGAAAGCGAAGGGAAGATGAGCGGTTGGTCGGTCTGGAGATCGGATTCAAGTAGGAAGGTATGGAAAAACAGACCCTGGCGTGACTCGAACGCGGAGAGGGAGGGAAAAAGCTGGCGCTGGAATAGAACTCGCGGGCCAGGAGACAGGGTAAAGGGAATAAGGTCAATCGGAGAGGAGGCGGAGGAGGGCGAGGTGGTTAAAGCGAGGAGGAGGAGAAGGCAAGAATGGCCAAGTCGGAGAGGAGGCTGCATCCCTCCGCCAGCACCCTTAGCGGTGGAAATGAGCAACACCACGTCCACGACCCTCCCTCCTGGTGGAACCTAGACACCCTCCCAACCCAACAGTATTAGCACGGGGTAAGGCGCCACTTACGCCACTGCACGGTGATGGCCGCTTTCACCGCCGCGAAACCGAACCAGCGCACGGGCACGTCCACGTCGATAAGGCCCGTCAGGATGCCCCTGGTGCTGCCCATGTGGGCCATACCCTTCCACGGAATGACCTGAGGCAGGCGGGGCGTACGGATGCATATGGGGGCGTACGGGGACAAATGGGGGCGTACGGGGCTTCAGCACAGCCGCGACAAGGAATGGCGAGGATGGCACACGCGTGACTTAGCTTGGTAGAGGGTAGGCGGGTGGGCTTCAGTGGGTGGGTGGGTGTACAGTGGGGGAAAAGACTGGAAAGCGTGGAAAAAGCAACTAAACCCAGGACCGTTTGCCAACGAAGCTATCCATTAACCTTTTTCCTCTTTTTCAACCCCTCCTTCCTCCCGCTACGAGTTCAGCTCCCGATCAGCGACAGCTCATTATCTACACTGCTTGCTTTTTGCACGGAGTGATTCCCTACCGCTACCGCTACCGCTACCGCCCCCAAGCATGACCCACTTACCAGCGCCCGAGCATCCACTGAGTGGCTCGTGTGGGGCTCCCCAAACGTGCCCCACTCCCAACCCATCCAAAACCACAGCGCCTTGAGCAAGTCCTTGATGGGCAGCATCATGTGCATCAACACAAAGACCGGCCAACGGTGCAGCAGCACGGGGTTGCACACAAAGGCGCTGCGGAAGGGGCAGGTGGGGATGGGGCATGAAAAAGACAGAAAGAAATGAGAAAACTGGGCGGCTGCATGGGTTGGGGATTATTAACGCACACGCGCAGCAGGTTGGTCGATGTCAAAGTTGGGCGCGTGCTGGGAACCCCGTGATGAAAGGAGGAGGAATGGACAGAGACGGGGAGGCAAACGTTCGTGGCCTGAACGTTGCCGCAGTCACTAAGCCGGCGAGGACATGTATGCCGGCGAGGCGACGCCTCCTCAGGCTGGTAGCCTTCTGGTTACCTGGGTGAAACCCTACACACCTGTGGCGTATCTATCTTCCCCGTCCCCTCAAACATCCTCCGCTTCAACTTCCTCTATCCGCTCCACCTCACCTCAACACCAGGTGCCTGTTCTGCCTCAACTTCTTGGCCCAGCCCTCAGCAGCGGCGCTGTTCTCGATGTACACCTGCGTGTCCTTGAGCTTATTGTCGTACGCGCTCTTGAGCGCCGTACAAAGCGGATCGTTGGGCGCGAAGATGGTATCAATGAACTGCGACGCCGGTGGACGGGTTGCGAAGGTTGTAGGCATGCAGGCCGTTTAGTCAGGTTGTCTTAGGACTTGAACAAATGGTGAGGAAAGTTAAAGACATGCAGGTGCGGGTTATGCAGCGCAAGCCAGAAGGTCGTGCTGGCAAGATGGAGGGTGACGCCGTACGTGTCGATCCTGAACCCGCATCGCGCACCTTCTTGTCCCAAGGCCTGAGCGTCCAGTTGCCCTGGCCATCCTTGACGCCCTTCTGCCAGTTGGTCAGCAGCAGCTGTGCAGAGGGGTGGTAGACGAGGGACATAGAGTCTCACGGGGGCGCGGTGTGCAGCGAATTGAGATGAAACGGAAATGAGGGATGTGAGGTAACGGATCTGATCTCAGACCTCGACAAACAGAAGGCGCTGATGGCCTTCAGCGCTGTGGCCATTAGAGCTGATGGCCGTATGGAGCACACGGACGGAGGCAACTAGGTTAGGTCTATTTTTATCACGCGTCGGCCGAACGCGCCGCATACGGACGTGGTACGTACGTATGTACGTACGTACGTACCTGCACGAAGTGGTGCGTGTACACGGGTTTGTAGAGGTTGACGTGGTAGGTGTTGTACAGCGGGTTTCCCGGCCGGAAGTTGGTGTACACGGTGGCCTCGTTCATCGAGCCTGTTGTTGTTGTTGTTGTTAATGTTGTTGTTATTGTTGTTGTGGTGGTTTTTCAGGGCGGTGGGACTTAAGGACAGTGGGGTTCGTTCCCGGTAGCTTGAAGACAAGCTATAGTGCTAGTGAACAGGGAGGCGGCAGGGGTAGACGAACAAGAGGGGTCTTGTCGGCAAAGACAAGGCCGCTTCCGATGACAAGCCCCATCGCATACCTGGTTTCCCTCCTAAACCCCACCCCCCTTATAAGGAGCCCGAAAGCCCTTAAAGAGCCCCCTAGCCCCCAAAGTCCCCTAAAACAAAAAGGAGCACGGAATCAGGTACATACCTGCTTCGAGAATGGCCTCCACAATTCTAAAACTGAGCTTCTCCCGCAGCATGTCCTTGATCAACGTGGTCATGGGCTCGGCCTTGAACGACCCCGGGGGCACATCAGGCGGCGGCTGCGGAGAGGGCGCAGCGGGCAATTCCGCGAGCAGTGCCGGGGGCGACAGTAAAATGCAGGACAAGGATGGAAGTGGAAAGCACTAACAGCACTGAAGCACCGAGTGAGGAACGCAAACAATAATTCAACGCGTTTCTGATGAACCGATCGGGCCCCATGAGGTGGAGTTGGATGCGAGGCGAGGAAAGCAAAACAAAGCATGTGCTGCATGACCGCCCTCACACTCGCATGGAGTCACCCGCCAGCAAGTGCGCGCGTGTGTGAACGGTGCCATGAACCAGTATGGTGGCGCCCTACTCACAACCCACCCCATGTCTCCAACCCATCCTACCCACCCCCACCCCTCGGCGGTCCCGAAGTAGGAATCGCACCGAGGCCAGAGGCCGCTTCAGAGACAGGGCCCCCATAAGCCCCAGCTAGGGCGGTCTCTTCACCTCCCCTCTCCTGCCTCGTTCCTTGGCGCATTTGCCTTTGACACGCCCCTAGGTTTATCCTTGCCTGTGAGCATCTGTTGATGATATCGGTGACCTTGGACAGCTGGATGTCATTCGAGATGAGCTCCTTCAGTTCTGCCCCCGTGAACTGAGCAGCAATGAGCGCGGCAAAGTGCTCACGTGTGGTGTCCCACTCCATGGCGGCCTTGTAGGTGCACTCGAAGGGGATGCCGTAATCCGCCAGCGCGTCCACAACCCGCTCCGAAAACCCCTGTGCGTGCGTTAGGAGTCAGAGTGGGGTTGGGGGGGTGGGGGTGAGATTGAGCTTTGAGGGCAGAGTGGGTTACTTGTAAGGAGTTTGGCTGCTATGCTGTGCTGTGCTGTGCTGCGTGTGGAAGGAAGGCGTTCGCAGCTGTGAGTTAAAACTAATAGGAATTAGTGAATGAAAGTGGGGCGTCGTCTTGGTTGTGGAGGGAGGGAGGAACGGAGGCGAGAGGTTGCTAACGGGAAGGGAGGAGGACCGAGCAAGGACAGAGCCAGGTAACCAAGACAGGATGACCCCAGCCGTTGACAGCGTCCCTAAGGCTGCGGCACCTTCCTACGCGCTCCCGAAAGTCCATGTAGCAGTGTGCACCGGCCCCCCAAATACCGACCTTTTCATCCGCCAGGTGTTGCAACTCCGGCGCCCGCCACGTGAAGTGGTTGCGCACGTCGCTGCACTTGACCAGCTGGTCCTTGCGGTGCAACAGGTTGGCGGACACCTGCAGTGTCACCAGCTGCTCCAACACGTCCCGGCTCACCTGGCGGGCGGGAGGGAGGCAGGGAGGGAGGAGGTGGATTAGGAGGAAGAGAAACAACGCAGGGAAGGACGAAGGAGGAGAAAGACGGAGGGAGCGTGGTTTGAAGGAAGAGAGCGAGTAGGGCGGATAAAAAAAGGGCGGATGATAAAATGGGGGAATTAAGGGATTTCACACGGAAACATTCCTCCTCATCATCATCACCATCATCACCATCATCGCAGCGCAGTGCCGAGAGATGCACTGAGAGACGACAGCGAGGCTGCTGGGAGCTTGCTAGACTTACCAGGTTCAGCAGCTTGGCGCAACCGGAGGGGAAGCGCTTGGCCATCTCCTTGAGCAGGTCGGTGGTGATTCCCGTGATGAACACCGCCTGGAAACGGGGATGACGTAAGAGGGAGGTAATCGCACACTCGGACAGAAGCACACGGCGAAGAGTTGATGTGGGTAATGTCGGAGTGTGGAGTCGTCAAAGGCTCGAAACACGCATGACGCGTCGCACCCGCCCTACTCCTCCCCCTCTCTCTCTCTTTCTCTCTCTGACGCACACGTACATGCATACACATATGCACAAACATGCACACACAACAGACCAGAGACACACACACACACACACCGTCCACACACATCCATCCAACGGCCACCCCTGCAGCCGTTTCCGTCTCGCAGCGTAGCTCGTAAAGATAAATCATCCACTCACCCTCCGGTCCTTGCTGTTAAGGTTGACCCAGCTAGTGATGCTCAGCACGGTGGCCTCGACATTCATGGACTTGCGCGCTGCCACCGCCGCACGCAGCACCCGGGACACATTCAGCGTCTGAACCGCCAGGTCCGCAGACAGCTGCTTCTCCACTTCCGCAGGGTCCTCCTCATCGAACCCCATCGCGGCGACGGAGGAGATGCGGCCGCCACCGGCTCTGCCACCGAAGCCGTTCTTACGGCCGCGGCCGCTGGGGCGGGCACCGCCGCCGCCGCCGCCACCGCCGCCGAAAAGGCCGCCGCTGAGGCGGCCGCCGCCTGCACTGCCACGCTTTGTTGCGTCGGAGGTGCCGCTGGCAGTGCTGGTGGCGCTGGCAACGCCAAAGCGCAGGAACTGAGCTACGTGGCTAGACGGCTTGTTGCCGTCGTCACCGGCGCTGCTGCAATCACCGCCGCTTCCGCCGCCGCCGCTGCCGTTTTTGCTTTGACCTTCGGGCTTCAACTTAATGGACAGAGCCCTGAGTAGGGAAAAAGGAAGTGGCAAGAGAACCAAAACACGTCATCCACGCGTATGATACGGCAAACCCAGTGTGACAAGGGGGGGAAAGACACGGCGGCAGGACAGACAGGCATGAGGCATGAACCCGCAGCATCAATGCACCGCTGGCTGCGATGAGCACAACCCCAAGCAAGCACTAGCGGCAGAAGCTACATTTGCCTCCTTAGGCCCCACGCACATAAAAAAGGACTGGGGAAGCTAAATTGAAAAAGCGGAGAGAAGTGCGGAGGAAGCATTGGGAGGTGCATGAGGAGGAGGAGTTTGGAGGGCCTAGGGCAAAGCACCACCCTTCCGCTGCCGGCGCGGATCCCTCCTGGCCTCCACTTTCTTGTCGGGAAGCAGGTGTGGCGAGGGCAGGGTGGAAGGTAAGAGATGCCCGGCGGTAAGGGCCGCCCCTTACCGATGCCGGTCGAGCGGGTTGGGCATCTCATCTGGCATGTGGGCATCATACGATTGCCGCTTGATGTCCCTCAACAGCTCCAACAGGCGGGTGCGGCCGCTGTCCGACTCCGTGAAGCCCTAGGTTCGCATGGAAGTGTGGAGTTGAGCCAGGCGGGGCAATTAGAAGAGGGGCAAAAAGGGACGGAAAAAAAGGCACAAAAAAAGCGCTAGCAATGCGTGTGTGTGTGTGTGTGTACGCGCGCTTGCGCTTTGTGCGGCTTTGCGCGCTGTGTGTGAGTATGAATATGGAAGGGGCTGTGCTGTGGTTGGGAGAGAATCTGAACAGTAAAACCCAGCCGCCAAGGAGCCAGTGCGACACGATTTCTTCCAAAACCCAGAGAGAAAGAGAGAGAGAGAGAGAGAGAGAGAGAGAGAGAGAGAGAGAGGGAGAGAGAGAGAGGGAGAGAGAGAGAGAGAGAGAGAGAGAGGGAGAGAGAGAGGGAGAGAGAGAGAGGGAGAGAGAGAGAGAGAGAGAGAGAGAGAGAGAGGGAGAGAGAGAGGGAGAGAGAGAGAGGGAGAGAGAGGGAGGCGCTGCACATTGACACGTGGCACTTGCGATGAGAAGCCGCCTACACCCCCTCCTCCAGCGTAGGGAGAACTTCCGAGCCGCTTTGGCCCCTCGCCCCTGTCACCCATGTCGCTCAGCTCGCCTTTCCTGCCCTCCCCAACGCACCTCCGCGGTACGCTTCTTGGAGATGAGCATCACAAAGTCCTTGAAGATGGGGTACAGCGCCATGTCATTGAGGACCTGCTGGTCAGCTTTCTCGAAGAACGCCTTCACCACCACATAGTTGACCTTGCGGAGTAAAGGCGAGGGTCAGATCGAGGGCGAGGAGGGTGAAAAACAGGGTGAGGAGGGTCCTTCCCCCCCCGGCAATCAGCGGTTAGAGGTGCCTTGTTTTTCTTACATGATTGCGGGGCGGTGAGGGGTGTTGCGTGGCACGCTTTAGCCTGCGCTTTCCACACTCTACTGGGGCCTCTACCTGGTGCACAACCATGCTGCTTTATCTCCTCTTCAGCTGTTCTCACGCAGCGCCACCCCAAGCGCCCCTCTTTGGGCGTCATCTTAACAGTCTTACAAGCCGCCAGCCGACAACGCGCGGCAGTCGCCTCCCAACCGGCCCTTCCTCCTGGTAGAACTCCGACCAATGCCACCAATTCCTTGGTTTATCGCCCCGCGTTGCGTTTCCCACTCTGGCCGGGACCCATGCCGGGTCGTAAACCACACTACCCAGCTTGACATAACCGCCTAAGGACGATACGCACACACGAACAGAAACGTCGTCGGCACCAACATTCACCTCCCCCATCCTCCTTTCCTTCATCCCCCTATCGCGGTCGCTTCTTCCCTTTTTAAATGAATTTTCCATAGCCCCAAGCATGCAGCGTATTCTTTCCTATCCCCGATCAGCGCCAGGAGGCCGACGTCCTCCTACCTGTTTGAGGCCCTCCACGAGCTGCTGGTAAATGAGAATCTTTCCCTGAGCCGCCGAACCCTTGCCTGCGCTGCGCGCAAGACTGAGGGAGGGCCGGTTGAAGCCCATGCCGGTGACAGACGCGTAGGCGACCGCGGAGTTGAGACTGTGGAGGGGCGCCAGAGGGGAGTTCAGCCGCAGCGACTTGACAAAACCCACCACGTCGTGGTCGGACATGTCCTGCAGCGGGGTGAGGGAAGGAAGAAGGGGGGGAAAGACGAACCACGAACGAGTGAAGCTGCTGCCAAGGAACGAAGGGGGGAAGAAGGGGAGGAAGAAACGCGGTGTCCAGAAGGTCGTTGCGGTGCGGCTGGTACGCTCATAGTGTCCTGCCGTTAAGGAATGCGTGTAAGGTGTGTGTGGGGTGGGGGGGTGGGGGGGCTGGGGGATGTTGGTTCGTTTTCCTCCCCCGACTCAAACTCCCTTCAGTGTACAAGCCAAGCCACCACGCCATCCCCATCTCCCTGCGCTTGCCTGGAGCTTGGCCAGCAGGTTATGAAACAGGTCGGGAAAGCAAGCAATGAGGGGGCCCATGGTGGCCTCCCAATTGCAGGACGCCAGTGCCCGCGGACAGTCCGCCGAAATGGTATCCAGCATCATCTTGGTCAGTTTGTAGTTGTTGTAGTCGACGGCGGCCTGTACATATTCCCACAACTCGTTGTGTTTGTCCTGCGTACAGCCGGGGATCAGGGCCCAGAGGCCATCAGGTGAGGGAGAGACGCGTCGTGGGCTCGTGGGGTGGGAACCTCCCCCGCGGAACCTCTTTCTCCCCCTCCCCCCCCTTTTTCGTTGCCGCTGCTATCGCTGCGCAATGCTCCCCAGGAGCCAGTCCCAGGCAGCCCCAACAAACACATTTTGATGTACACCAAAACCAGGAAACGAAATACCCGACCCTGCGCCCAACCTGATGCCTGCTCGGGCCCTACTCGATGTACCCCTCCTCCCTTCCCCCCCAGCCTACCGACGTCCCATGGCTGCCTCTTTATGACTATCGCGTGGAATTCTTTCCAGCTCAGCCCCAATCAGGCCGAAAGCCAGCCTGTAGCCAGTGTCGCCGCCCCCTCCTCCTCACCCTCCCCCTCCCTTCCCCCTTGTCGCCATCCCTCCTCCTCCTTTCCCCCTGCCGCCGTTTCCCCCAGTAGCGGGGCAGGTGACAGGAAGAGGTGGCAACTTACCTCGCCCTTGCTGTAGAGCTCCGTGAAAAGGCGCTTGACGATGGCTCCCACCTCGCCACCCGCTTCCGCCGCCGCGCGCGCCATCGCGGCCTCCGAGTGGTGGATCCCCTCCGCGTCACCAGCTGACCCATGCGACACACTGCTGACCAGCTTGTTGATCGCAACGAATATCATGCGCTGCAGGGAGAGATCACGGAGGGGATGGGAAATGGGGATATAGGGTCCTGGGGTTAGGAACACTTGAGGAGCCTTTTATATGGCAATATGTGAAAGATGTCATCGAAGGACAACCAAGATGCCCAGTCGGCAGCAGCACGCAGCCCACATGCAGCACAGTGTGTCAAGGCGCCGAAACAGCGGCGGCAAGCATTCCGCACGCACAGCATTTGACAGGAGAATGAGCAACAGAAAGGTTTGGACACACACACTTGCGGAGTTGAGCACGCACACGCACACACACAGACACACATACATACATACACACACGTACACACACACACCTGCGTGTAGTCCATGTTAGCGGCGGCCCCCATTGCCTTGGCCCAGTCCATCTTGCCCTTCCCCTCATCATCCGCGGCGGTCAGCCGGGCCGCCTCGGCAGCTGCAGCTGCCGCCTTCACACGGTCCGCCTTCTCCTTCTTGTCCCTCGCCTCTTGCTGCTTGATCACCTCAATCATAAGCTGGGCAATAGCGGGGGTCTGCGCGCACGCAAGTGGCCCACAGGAAGAGCGAGCGACGAACGGGGTGGCGAGTGAATGCACACTAGGCACATTTTGAAAAAGGGTCACTAGGCCAACTACGAAAGATAGTTCCTTGACTTCCACGGCCCCATCCTCTGGACCACCTCCCTTCCCCCGTTCCTACCCGCCTTACATGTTTTTCAGTGCATTGCGGTTAGGTGGCTAGGCATGGAAAAGACGCGTAACACCTGGCCCCCTACAAAGCGGGATTCGATAGGCGGAAGGAGCGAGGAAGCGGAAAAGGAACCGCCAACAAGCCTCTTCCAGTGGGGCAGCATCCCTCGTCAGCTCTGCTCTAAAACGACCCTCCAAAAGGCCCAGCAATCAACCTCAGCAGCAAAAACCACATGCACCATCTACCACTCGTGTTTTAAGGGATATGGCCCCAGAAGCCCCCGCCCCCACTTCAGACCTATTCCTGCGTCCCGCCCTCACCACTCTACCCCTCCACTTCCCACCCACCCAGCAACACCGCCCCCCCGTTCGCGCCCTTCCTACCCTTATCATCCTTCACACACACCGGCTTCGCCTCCGTACGAGGCATACCTGCGCCCCCTCACACATGCACACACACATTCCCCTCTCACTCACGCCTCAACACAATGTCCCCCTCTCCCGCCCCCTTCCTTCCCCCTTACCGGCACCGCCTCCTCATGCAACACCACCAGCCGCAGCAGCTCCTGGAGAGCCTCGAGGGTGGGAACAACCTGGCGCCGGTAGCGTGAGCAGGTGTAGGGAGGAGAATTTAAGAAAGGAAGATCAAATGGAAATCAACCGCCGACGTCCAGACTGAGGGGGGGGAGGGAAGGGGGGTGTAGTGCGACATGGAGAGCGAATGAAGGGACGCACTTCAGACCTGGGAATCAGCAGGAAATCGACCCTTCAAGCAGTAGCAACCCTCAATCCGATCCATCCGATGCTCGATGATCAAATATTCTATCCTATCTGGATCATAGGTATCAGTAAGATCCCCAAAGGCCGCTTCTTGGTTACGATTTGACAAAACGGCCTAATCTGTACGGCCTAATCTGTAGCGACTACCGCTGTTAGATTTGCCCAGGAAATTAGCCAGTCCTTTCGCAGGTGGCTGCGACCCGTTGCCCAGCCCCTAACTTAACCCATGCCCGCTTGCCGCGCCGCTTACCTCCCCTTCCCCCCTCTTCCAACACTCGCTCCTTTACCCCCTTCCCGTCCCTTCCCTTCCGTGGTCTCTGTTCCCTGGCTGGGGTCCACAAGGCGGCCGCCCACAAGCCCGCTGCGAGCCAGCCCTCTCAACCCAGAGACACCAGCCCCAGGACGCCCAGAGACGCCCACCCACCCAGTGGACACCCACCCACCCACCCGCCCATCCCGGCTCAGATCATTACAACGCCCATCTAGCTCCGTCCCTCAGCTTCTTGAACCGCTATGTGATCGGCCACTACAACCCACATACCCCCATACAACTCACCCCCTTCCTCACCCCCTTCCACAACCCCTTGCATGGTATGCTGGTGCCGTCTAGCTTGCTGGCAGTCGGCACTTACAGTTCTGGAGCGCCGCGGCGACCTAAACCGTGTCGCACATGCGCTGGCTTTTACACTGGCTTTTGAAAAAAACCGGAAACCCCGGGACCGCCGACCTTGCATAACTAAAAGATCTGGTGTTTCACCCACTTAAATATATTTACCTGGAACGCATTCATCCGAGTGATGTCCAAGATTTGCGGGTTAGCTCCGTGCTCCAGCAGCAGTACCGCCACTTCATGCTGCCCATGGTTCAGCGCGCCGTGGAGCGCCGTGAAGCGAATCTGATGGCAGGCGGCGATGACGGGTAATGGCGGGTAATGGCTAAGGATTTTACCCAGGAACACATCACTCCTGGAATACACACACATGCACACACAACACGCGTGCGCGCCTGGGGACCGTGACAAAAGCGCACGACACGTCCCTCAGGTACACGTCCCTCAGGTACACCGTCCGCGGAGGACGGGGGCAACGCAGAACCTCCTCGTCAGGAGAGTGTGTGGCATGCGAGCGCGACATGCCCCAGCTTTTCCAGCCGGAAAATCCACAGCCGCCAAGCCAAGCCAAGCCAAGCCAACACCAGGCACAGCAGGGTGGGCACAAAACCCTGCATAACAATGTGCCTGTATGCGCAGGAGCCATGTTCTGACGCCACCTCCGAGCTGCGCTCTCTCGGACAGCTCCCTCTCCCCTTTACGGGAAATGCTGCCCAGGACCCGCCGCTCTCTGGACCTCTTTCCTGCCATTTGCGTGGGTTTCTATCCCGAGCTCTTGCCAGCATCTGCACAGCTCCCGACGCGGCTCCGCACCGCACATCACAGCACAACCGCCACGATCACCTATCGCTGCGCTTTGGTATGCACTTTGGCTCCGCTACAGCTGCTGATGCAGCAGCCCTCCACCAGCGCTGCCACAGCAGCTTTACGGGGTACCAGACGGGCCGCGTCGTGGTCTCCAGCTGCTGTGGCTGCTGTGGCTGCTGCTGCTGTTCTGCTTCGGGAAGTGTTGTGGGAGGTTCTCTCCTGGTGCAGATTTGTGCCAAGGGGTTGACTCGGCGGGCACTCTGCTGTTGCCCAGGTGGACAGCTGCGGCAGTGGGTGGACTGCACCCAGGCTGTACCAGGCTCACCAGAATTCAGTTTGCGCACTTTCCTTGTAATTTGTTACACAGAATCGGTGCACTTCGCACATGGCCACGTCTAGAATTGGTTGAGCCTGGGGGATGCCTGCCCCGCCCGGCGGCCACCAAACCCTGTCCCAACCCACCTGAGTGTCCTGGTGGTTAAGGTACTCATTCCGCTTGACCTTCCGAACCAGCGTTGACTCGTAAGGTTCAAGCAAGGCGAGGACCATCTCCATGTTGCCAGTAGAAGCAGCCAGCTGGAGAGGGATGCAGCCATACTGCACGGCCGAAAAGTCCCGTCACGCCTCTGAAGGGCCGTTAACTGTGAATACAAGACCTGATGTAACTCACCTTATCTGCAACGAAGACATCATGGTTCCTCTTCACCAGGTACCTGTGGTTCCAAGAGTATCCAACGGCCCATGAAACCCATACGCAGGTCGACTACAAGTCGAACGCATCCCCATTCTACCCAAAATCAATAAGCAGCGAGTAACTTATTTGACATACCGTGCAAGGTTTGCGAAACGGCGCATTGCTTCCGGCGTCGCATTTGCCATAGCTTCCGCCACGGTGGTGTGCCCCAGCATTGCAACATAGTGTAAAAGAGTGAACCCAGGATCCTGGAGCCAAAAATATAAGTGTTAACTACTGCCGGGCCTAGAACGCCCTCGCACATGTGGGCATGACCAACGGCGCACCTGCGCCTTTGCTGCCAAAAAAGAGGTAGATTCACTAAGCTGTTGAACCTCAGCTATCTCCTCAAGAAATTCGGTGCTGCTGCCGGGCGGCAGCGAAGCCCCCGACTCAAGGACCGCTGAGGCTCGTCCCCCATACTGTGTTCCATCAGAGCTTTGTGTGCCGCCGAACAGCTTGAGCGCCACTTGCTTGATGGTCCCTTGCCCATTCCTGTGGGCCATCAAGTGCTGAGAGTCTGCTTTATTCAAGCTGGACTGCCAATTCAGCTGCACTTACTGGGCCATGGGGACCACCTTATTGTTGGGATTCGTCATACAGACATGACCTATACCTTTATCCTCATGTTGGGTCAGCACCTAGAGACATCGTGCGATAGCCCGCTGCTTGCAAAACTTCGCGGAGCGAAGCTACTTGAATAAAGGTAGGTTAATGCAGCTTGGATTAGTAGCGTCAACTTGGTCATAGTGGGTTAGGCAGAAAACTACGATTCAACCCCGACAATGTTCCGGCAACCGCAAAGCTGTACAGCTGGGTAGTGCCGTGCGTCCTGGGCTTCCAGCATGTCGGGGACACCATGAAACTCTGATACATATTCTTTTCCTTGTGCTTATCTTTGCAGTTTAGGTACTACTGTGCGTGCGTTATTGCTGCGTAACGGAGGTCATCGGGGCGACCTGTAGCCATACACGGGACGTTAAGTTTGCCGTTTTGGTGCTGCGAGCTTAGCATGATAGGCGTACATCCGGCAGATGCTGCTCGAGAGGCCGCTGGCTTCACCGGGCGGTTCACGGCTGGCTTGCGTTACGTGGAGAGCACGCACGTGCCTAACCCTGTCCTGCTCTCCGACCCCTTAGCCGGGGTGCTTGCGGGCGATCGTGGATTGGAACTTGCCAAAAAAGAGCTTCATCAGTTAGTCGACGCACAGGTAAAGCGGTACAGGCTCTCCGCAAACGCTTCACCAACCACTCGCCCTTGCTAACGGACCTTATGCCTGTTCCGCTAGGGGCCCCTTGCCTAGCACAAATCCATCCCAAACTCTTTCTACTCGCTCCAAAACGATTCGTAGAACCTTTGACTCCTGGCTTCTGTCCCATCTTTTGCATATGCGGCTGCACCTGGTGTATTGAGCCTCTGACACTACAGGGCCCGGGCAAGCACCTCCGTGTTCCAGCCCGCAGCCGCCTCATCGATGACATGATTACCCAGGAAATCTCAGGGTTGCGGCTGCGGAAGAAAGAACAAGAGAAACAGCAGAAACTCCGGGAGAACGGCTCCACGCAAGGTATGAGTGGAAGGGATATGTACTACGGCACAAGACGCACCAAAGAGCCCTAAAGGGCCCTAAAGAGCCCTTCGGCCTTCGAAACCTGGGCGGACCAGTGCCCCAGTGCTTGGGATCTCCCCATCAAGCTTTACCTCATAATTAATCGCGTTTAGCTTAATACTGAGTACTTATTAACTCTGCAATGGCACTTTACAGCGCGAAATGAACCCTGCTGGTGCACGGGGCCCCCTGCTAGGGTGGAGCTGGGTCGCCCTCACAGCAAGCCGGCGTACGACAGCCGGCGTACGACAGCCGGCGTACGACGTAGAGGACAGAGCCTGCATGGTATCCGCAGAAGAGGAAATACTTGACCGCCCTCGAACCACCCTCTCGTCCGTTCTTTCTTCCTTCCTTCCTTCCTTCCTTCCTTGCTTTTGGAGCCACGTCTTTGCCACCCGGCGCCGCCACAGGTGCATTTGGACGAGCAGGATTCGGCGCTACAAGCCTTTCTGGATCTTCTGGGTCAGAACCTGGATCCAGATCCAGAAATGAATCCGGTTCCGGAGCTTCCAGGTCTTTCGAAAGCTGGGATTGTGACAAGGGCGTTGTTTGCCAGGTGGTGAGTCTTGGGGCCGGCATGTGTACACGGCCCTGGCGGCTGACGTGTCTGGGTGGCTGTCGCGTATTTGAGGTGGACCTGCCACACATCGCCCAGGCCAAGGTGGCACTGCTTGCGGAGGCAGGTGCGCAGTGCACCCCTAGCAGCGATGACACCAGCACGGTAGGTTTTTCATTAGGAAGTTGTCGACAGCAGCAGGAAGAGCAACAGCTGGAGCAGCACCAGCACCAGCACCAGCACCAGCAGCGTGATGGTGGGTGCAACTCGCCAACATCAGCTGCAACGTCTAGCAGCAGTGCTTTAGCGCCAACCGTGGCCGCTGGTGGCCTGCTCAACGAATCCCACCACAGTCATGGGGATGAGCAACAATCCTTTGCAAATAACACAGTAGAACAGCGACTCCAGCCCCTGGAGCAGCAGCAACACCAGCAGCAACACCAGCAGCGACACCAGCAGCATGTCTTTCCACTTCAGGCTGCCAGCTATGCATGCATCGGCGCCGATTTGTCCACCCGTACCCCGACCTCGCTCTCAACGGCGCTGACCAGCCACGGCTTCACCACCTCCATCCCGACGATCTGGGTCCTGGAGGCGCTGCTGTACTACATGCCTCTGGCGGCGGCTTCGGAGCTCCTTTCTCAGCTAGCGGCGCTATCGGCTCCCGGAAGCCGGCTTATCGCTACGTGCGTTGACCAGGAGCTGCTGGAGGCTAGCCTGCGAGGGGTACCGAAGGTGCGCTAGGTGGCTTAGGTTTTTAGGGTTCATTGATTTCTCTCTCTTAAATCCTGGTCACCAGGAGCTGCGGTGCGGGTAGGTTGGGCCTGGCGGACCACCCCTGAGAACACCCTGGGGTGTGGCATGGGCAGGGCAGGGCAGGGCAGGGTAACACAGTAGTTTGGGCGGTTCGGGGCCCTGTACTCTAACCTGGGAATTGCTAATTGGAGAATTATAATATATTATAAAATACCCAGAGGTAATGCCCACAGACTTGCGGAAGGCCTGAAGCAGCTACATGAGTTCTGTGGGTGCACGCATCGCGGTGAGCGAATGAGTGGCTGGCTATACACTGGTTGTACACTACCGGCCAACAACCCGTTTTCGATAACCCACCACACTCATGACTCATCCGTCCGCCGTGCAGGACCATGTATTTGCAGATTTGTGGCATTTTGAAGCAGGAGCACTGCTGTACGACACACCTGCATTCCGGGAGTGCTGGCAAGTCGACTGGGTCGGGCAGCCCGAGCAGCAAGAGGAGGAGGTGGCGGCGGCGGCGGCTGCCGGTCCAGCAGGAGTTGGTGGCGGCGGCGGCGCAGCGGGGCGCGCCACCTGCCTGTCTGACCGGCCTCTGCCAGCGAGCACGCGGCGCCTGGCCAAAGAACGTTTGGGCGCGGACACGTACGTCGCCCTGTACGGCGGCAGTGAGCTGCTTTTCGCGGCCAAGCTGCGGCAGCAGTATCAGTCGTAATCGCGACTGATACGATGCGTACGAGCCATCACAACAGTCAAAGTCAAAGCCAGATACGTAAAGCCTGAAGTACTTAGGGTTTTAACCTTAGGGTTGAATGACATGCAGGCGACTGGGCTATTATGTTACATCCAGCCAACGATGTGCCGTTCGTGGCTTTGACCAGAATGAACTTTTCACCTTGTTTATTGCCTTGCGTGGGGCCACAAGAGGTGTTGATGTTGGTATTGCCATCCATGGGCATCGACGTCGACATGGCGGCCCACGAGGTATAGCATCGTGACACCGATGGTCCCATACCAGTGTGGGTGTGACAGTGTATGAACCACCGCACACGTGCATGTATGTATGTTGTTACAGGGTGGTTAACTTCGCCAGCGGCCCCCTTTCCCGGGGCAGTCCCTGCTCTCCCCTGCTAGAGGGGCACCCTAATCCGTCACCCCATCCGACTTCAGAATGTATTCGATGGGTATGGTGCATGTATGTATGGTGGCCCGACCTGGCCGGCGGGCATCTGACGTGTTTTCTTACCCTGTCGCGGCAGTCACCCAGTCGGTGACCTGATCTGACCTGACCGCGATGTGCACCATGACGTGTATGATGTGTATTCGGAACGTGGGGGCGGGGGGGGGGCAAGGGCCCTTCACCTCGGGGACCTGCAGCTTCTTTATACTTGTCCAAGGAAAGAAAGTAATAAGGATTATGATAAGGCCCATAATGGTTTTTGCATCTCACAGCCACAGAGCCTTAGCAGCAAACAGCGACTTGAAGTTCCAGCACAGCTGCTGCTCCTGCGCCTGATGCAGCCCGGCGCAACTTCACCGATGCAACCTAGCATTGCTTCATCTATCAGTGGCTGGGTAGGCGGGAGGGATAGGGATCGATATGCTGCTATTTTTCAAGTGAATTTACACATATACATCCGCACCCGTACAGCTATCATACTGTCCGTTCGTCCGCTGAACACGTGAGCACATCAATTTCGCCGTACGAACCTAACCGCGGCCGGCGCCACGATCTCGCTGTTTCTGCTGTCGAACATTCGAACGCGGCTTCGCACCCACACACACTCCGTCCGAGTTCAGACATGCCGAGCATGCACGAACGCATGTATGTATGTATGTATGATGTGTGGGACAGGGGGCCGTATCTTCGCCCGTGGCAGCTACCCGGCGACACCCTGCCTTCCCCGGTATTTCGGGGCACCCTCATCCAGTCACCCTAGTCAACTTCTCAGTGGATCGCTTAGATTCCGCACCCACCACCAGCATCCAACGGAATTTGCCGGATCGAGGGCGGCCCAACTCCATTCCTGGGCAGCTCGCGAGTCAACTTTATCCCAGGTCACCACCGTCCATCGACTAGGGTCACATTACCTTCCACCATCGGAAGGACTTTCGATCCTGACAGGTCTCGATCCCGGGAGATCCCGGGGGCAATGGTCCGTGCCTTACCAGTAGTGCCTAACCTGAGTATTGGTAACCACCACCAAGCATGTATGTATGTGTCTGTGAGCAAGCAACCTATCTCGGTACACACACACGCACACTCAACACACTCCTACATATCATCACTCTTATCCTTCAAGCACTTCTATTCCTGCTTCGGTTGCAGTTCCGCCGTCTGCAGCGGCAAAGTGATAGCGGGATGCACTGCCGCCCCCAGCTGCTGCAAAGTGTGAGCCGCGTTGGCGTGGGAGACCTTCCGTGCGATGCGGCCGCCGCGCAGCGTCAGAGTGGTGACGCCGCGGACCAGCAGCGGCGCCCCGGCGGCTGGCACCCCCAGCAGCTTGCTGCCCGCAGCGGTGTGTGTGCCCTGAGAGGCGCAGTGACATGCGGTGACACCACACCAACATGCGTTGAATTGGTTAAGTATGTATGTAAGTATGTAACATGAGGCGGGCATCAGCACCTTGCACCACACGTACCTACCGACCCTTTTCCCCTTTCATGTCAGCTCCCCCCCACACATATACACATACACATACACACCGCGCCCTCCCCCCTTACCCGTATGACCCAGCGGAAGGTGACCTTGTCGAACCCCAGCGCCGCAAACAGCTCGTGCCCTATGGCAAGATCGGGGAGGCAGTCCCGCCAGCCGCCCATCATGGCTTCCATGGCCTCGCGACCTCGTCTGAGGGTTTGGAGGACAGTACGCAGCGGCGAAGGGAAGTGATGCGGCGAGAAGTTCATCGGGGCAGGCGGGCCGGCAGGGAAGGCGGGGCCCGGTGCTGCTGCGGGCTTTCAGGAGGGATAAGAACGGTCTGGCGGGGCGATGGGCGGACAACTCCCAGGGGTTCCGGTCAGGTTTGCTTCGTCATGAACACGTCCTCTCCCGTTTTCCCCCCTTTCCCTTCCCCTTCCTCTACCTCGCCTTCCTGGCCCTGCATTTCATGTTCACCCTGTTTCCTTCCACCCGGCAGTGCTTCCTTTCCCTTTTCCCTTTGCACCGGAATCAAGCCAGAGGCACCAAGACGCACTCCCAGCGTGCAGCAGAGCCGTACGTACGTACGTACGAAATCTCCCCAAGTGCGCACCTGTCGCCCAGATCCAGCAGCCCGTCGTACTGATAATCCGGGTGTACGATGTGATCCAGGACCTTGTAATTGCCTGTCGCGGTTGGCGGACACCAAGGGGGGCCAAGTGGGGGGAGGGGTGGGACCCGGCCACCCGGTCACTGGCAAAGAGGCCACTGGAAGTGGTCCAGGGGAGTGTATGGGATGTGTGCGTGTATGTATGTATGTGTGTGGGGGGGGGAATGCGTGTGTATGTATGGTCGAAGGGCGAGTGAGGGAGAGACAGGGAGGGGAATGTATGTATGTATGTATGTATGTATGTATGTATGTATGTATGTATGTATGTATGTATGTATGTATGTATGTATGTATGTATGTATGTATGTATGTATGTATGTATGTATGTATGTATGTATGTATGTATGTATGTATGTATGTATGTATGTATGTATGTGTGTGTATGTATGTATGTGTGTGTGACACGTGTGTCTCCGCAGATTTTGAAAAATGAAACCCGCCTCCTATATTTCGCCGCTGTAAAAAGAAATCTGTCGACCCTTTCCCTTCGCGAGGAACACACCGCCAAACACGCCGCCAAAGCAGAGTGCCTAACAAACGAAAGAAACGTCCATCTGCAGACACGCAGGGGCAATAACACATGGGCCCATCACGCACCTGTATTGTATGTGTGGAAGTACAGCTCCACCACCGCGCGGTTCGCAGCCTGGGCCGCCGCCAGGGCCTCCGGGGACTCCGCAAAATGCGCCTGCGCCTCCGCCGCGGCGGCGACCGCAGCGGCAGCCGCTTCCGCCGCCTCCGCCTCTGTGGCGAAGGCGTTCCGAGCTACCGCTGCCGTACGCATCGCCAAATCACCTGCAACCGCGCATTATCTCTTGTGTCAGAATCCCGCTGCCCGCTCGGGTCGGGTCGGGTCGGGTCGGGTCGGGTCGGGCACCAGGCGCCTACGAGCCCGGCAAGTTGCTCGCTCCCCCAGTAACCCCCATCACCACGGGCACAGCACCCAATACACACACATTCTTTGTTTTCGGATGTCGCCAGACTGACTGACTACCACTCGACCGCCCGACTCACCCTCCGCCGCTGAAGGCCTTCGCGCCTCCTTCACAGCAGCCCCGCCATCGGGGCCCTGCGGCTCCTCTTGGTGTCCCTGCTGCTGCTGCCAGCCGAGCTGGCGGTACAAGAAGATGGGATCCCAGGACCACCACACCTCCACCCCCCGCAGCAGCTCCGGGACGGTGCTGGCGGCCTCGCCGCCGTCGTCGTCGTCGTCGTTGGGTGGCGCCGTCGCCGTGGCCACCTCATCGTTAGTTGGTGCCGCTGACGCCAAGCCCTGTACAGGCTGTGCCGTACGGATTACGAGGCTTCCCTCCCAGGAAGCCGTAGCTCCGGACGGGGGCAGGGAGGGTCCCAAGGCACCCGTGTGTGTACCTGAAGGGGATGGGAGGGAAAGACGAACCACACGCGATTGAAGCTGCTGCCAGGGCAAGATAGTAGCAAAGGGGATGGGAGGGGGGGAAAGGGGAGGGGAAGGGGAGGTAGTTAGTGTGTATACGTGTGGAGGCAGAAGCACCCGCGGCCCTGTCCCACGCGTACCAGTAGCCTTCCAGTAGCCCAGCACCAGCCCCTGTTCCCCCGTGTGCAGGGGCCGCTGCAGCTGCAGACTCAGGTCGGACATCGCCCCGCGGAACAGATCCACCAGCTCCTAAAGGAAGCAAACAGACAGACAGACAGACAGCGAACGACTGAAGGGGAGAGAGGAAAGGAAGAGGAAAGATGTTGTATTACAACTCAGTAAGCAGTAGGGGAGGAGGGCAGTAGGGGCAGGAGGTGGCACCAACGCTGTCGTAGCTACGGTATACGACCTACCCACAGCCGCAGAGGAAACCCGGGAATCGAGTCATAATTGCAGGCATATCCTCTCGCTTGTCTGCGCGTACGACCCAAATAGCTGGGAATTAAGGACCGTATGCCCGTCCTAGGTTATGTCCTAAATAGGCACCTCCACGTTCCTCCCCTTGCTGGGGCACTGCAAGCCAGTAATTGGGTGACGGCGAAGAAGGGGACAAGATGAACCACGCGGGGGCGAAGGAGGGGAAGGGCATCCAGGGTGTCAGACGGCATGGAGGTCCAAGTAGGGCCGAGCTAGGACGTCCTGCGGGGGTTCAGGCGCTGCTGGTGCCTGTTGCCGTGCCCATTGTCGTACCTGTAGTTGATATCGGCCCACCAGGGCCTTATCCGGCAGCAGCGCGTCGTGCCATATGACCTGAGTGGGCCACAACATTAAACAGGTGCGCTGGGTCGTGGGGTCGTGGAAGGGGGCAATCAGCTGAAGGGGGATTGCATTTCCCTGACGGCTGAGGAGGGGGGGGTCTTATTCAAGAGACTGCGGTTGAGGAAGCAAACGGTCAACTGCCGACACTTCCAAGGCAGCTGACGGGGAGGGGGCCCGGGGAGCGATGAGGTGCCACTGTGTGTGTGTGTGTGCATGCATGGCCGGTGTACACACCGCATAGATGGTGAACGACTGCACCTGGCACCTTTCAGGGGCTAGGGGTAAGGAGGCGAAAGGGCGGGAAATGCGCATGGGGACCCCGCACTTAGCTCACTGGCTTCGGATAGGGCCTGAAGAGTGGGAGTGGTTAGAGAACTGCGGAAACGGGGCAGTGTGGAAAACGGAGGATCATTGCGGCGGCGGAAAGGATGCTCCTGCTCGCTCGCAGGGAGTGCGTGAGCTCGGGGGAGAAGCAGGAGAGCGCCTGATTAGGACTCCGCGTTTGGTCCACAGGAGTTCAGCGTAAACACGTGCACATAATCTTTTTTATAGAAAGGTATTTAAATATTGCCTACCTCACTGTCAAGCATCTGCAAGGCCTGCTCTGCGGAAGCCTTGCCATGCCATACATCAACCAGGGCATCGGCAACCGCCTCAGCATAGCGTTCGAGGTTGCCTGAAGCAAGTCGGGTTAACGGATGAGCTGGACATATTTAACCCATGGCAACGTCCTCACACACACGCGATCAAAGCAGCAAAACAAGTGGCACCGCACGATTGCAAAAAATTAACCGTACCGAGAGATCTTGGCCTCTTTGCCGATTGCTCATTTTCGCCGAGGGTAGGCATGACACTAGTCTTTGGCAAAAGCCCCGGCCGCGACGCTCAGGATTGGGGGAGCAGAGCCCGCAGCCCGGCCTGCCTCTTGAACGTATCACCAAGAAAAAATGAAATGTTCCTAGCTGTGAATAACACAGACTGCTTGAATTACAATATATAAATAAGCTACGCCTTCGACATGCGATCTACTGTCATTGCCCATAAATCTATACCACGATGATGTATCGGGCCGTCTTCCATTAGCCGGTTAGCGTCCTCTAGATAGGGTAACATAACTGGCGATCCACCCCACTAATGCTGGCTAACTGTCGCGTGCTATGGTAGCTCAGTTATGCAAGCTGCAATCGCGTGGCATTTTCCATACCTCGTGAGCTTCATTATCATAATACAAGCGTCCGATAACAAATACAAGAGATCATTAGTTTGCTTTGAACATGGATGGAACATGGCAGAACACAGTCGCTTCTTTGCATGCGTTGCATTTGCCCAGCTAACTAAAGCGGCAAACCCATTCTTTCCTAAAGGGCTATTATTGTGAATTGTTAAATGGGATAACTATATTTCGCGAACTTACTACCTAAGGTCGCTCAGGTGGTAAGTTTTCACCGTGGACCGAAAGAACTCCAGCAGGTCAGAAGCCCGGTGGGGGGTGAAGCCATATAACCTTCCTCCTACACGACTTGCGAACGGGTCCATACCCACCGACCACATCCAATTTCCAACATGGGATGGAGAAGACACTCCCCAGGCGGCACCGCGGCCCCTTCCTACACAACCTGCTTCATTCGACCCTAAACCGCATGCACTGCAAACACCCTTACAACCCCCACCACCGTCCCACCCACCCAAACACACACACTCCGCCTAGGAGCATCGCGATCTGCACCAAGGTGAGGAGGTAGTAATCCCGACGGCGACCCGGATGGGAGCCACACAGCCACCCAATCTCCTCCCCCCTTTGGTTGGTGGGAGGTCGATGAGAGGGACTACAATTACAAACTACTACTGTCCAGTGCCCCTAACGTGGGGGTGACGTGGAGGACAGTGGAGGGGGCAGTGGGGGCCTCACCGCACTGGCTGCCGCTGCCGCCTACCTACCTACCTAGCCATCACCGGCACCGACACACCACCACCCCATGCATGTTGAGCACTCTAAGTACACACATACATACATGCACACATATACTCCTCCTCCGCAAACCAGCTAGCACGTGGTGCGCTCTCCGTTCGTTCGTTCGTTCGTTCGTTCGATCACCCGCCAAGTTGGCAAGAGACTGCGGAGGAGGAGAGGAGAGGAGAGGAGAGGAGAGAAGAGAAAGGCAGCGACCCCCTTTCCTTGGAAGGCCCATTGCGCTCTCCCCCTTCCGACGGCATTCCTCTTGACGTTATCCACATCTCCAACTCCACATACATACATGTATCTGTACATACATACATACATACATACATACATACATACATACATACATACATACATACATACATACGTACATACATGTATACTCCACATACATACATTTATACATACACACATACATACATGCACACATATGCTGCATGCATGTGCACCACATCTACAGACATACAGACAGACAGCTGTAGCCCTCCTGCGGGACTGTTTACCCCTAGTTATAACTGCGCGCTCTACCGTCAAGCCCTTCGTGGCGGCCTCCCGCCCCCCCCCTTACTGCTAGGGGACATACGATCACCACCACCACCACCACCACCGCAGCTTCTAGCCCGTGATGATGGACCCTGCAGCTGCCCGTGATGATGATGATGATGATGATGACTCTTTTAAGTGGCTACCAGCACTACCAGCACCTCCCACACCACTCGCACCACCACCACTCCCCTTTTCTCCCCATCGGCCCTCAAGCCCTTCCCGTTCTCATACAAGCGCAGTCCTGCTATAGCCCCCTCCCTCCCGACCCCGACCCCGACCCCAACCGGTGTAGGGCCCCCAGCAAGCCCCGGTGGGCGCTGCCCGCCGCCGCAACCAGTGACCCCAGAGCCGAGGAAACAAGGGCCCCCGCCAGGCCATCACGTCCGATGGCAGTAGCAGCGGCGGTAGTGGCGGTAGTGGCGGCGGTAGCAACACCGCCTGCAGCGGCACCGGCCGCTGTTGCGCCTCCGCCGGACTCCCCTTTCAAGGCCGCCAGCTCCCGGCCCAGATGCAGCTGGTGCAGTAGCGTGAAGGCCAACACCGCAAACACGAGGAGCGCACGAACCTGCCGCAGTAGCAATAATAGTGGCAGCAGTAGCAGCGCGTGGAGCAGCAGCAGTAGCAGCCGCAGTGAGGCGAGGTCCAGATTGACATCAGCACCTCCACCGCCCGGTTTACGCAGTTTCAAGGTTAACAGCAAGCGGGGGCGAAGGGGGAGGAGGAGACCCGGGCGAGCACGGGCTGGCGGTCGGGAGCACGTGACTGGATCATGTGTTGCACCCCCACCCCCAACCCCACCACCCCCAACCCCACCCCCACCAATCGAGGTACCGCCTCATTGGTACCCCCATGCACTCCATTCCCCACCACCACTCGAAGCGCACGTGCACACACATACGCACACACACGTGCCCAAGCACACGCACTTGCTTCCAGATGGGCAGGGGCTGCCGCAAGTGGGCCCCCGCTACCGGTGCTGGCGCTGCGGCGGCAGTCGGGGCCTGTGGCGCTATCCCCCCCGCGGCGGCGGCGGCGGCGGCGGCACTGCGGGAGCGGCGGGGGGTACCTGCGGTGGAGTGGGGTGGGGTTGAGGGGTTTGGGGTACGGGAGGAGGAAAGGGGGGTGGCGGGGATGAAAACCCCAAACGAGTGGGAATACGAATCGGAACCTACGGCGGCCTGTTTCAGCAGATCTGGGTTTTTAAGGCGAGACAACACGGCACGCCCCGGACATACCGGGGACGGAACCGCCGACGGGCGCCGACACGGGCAGCGGTTTTGGCAGGGGCGCTGCGGCCTGCTGGCGTATTGCCTTGATGTGGGTCTCTACGTTGGCGATGAAGGCGTTGTAGAAGGAGGTGGAGTCCCGGATGGTGGTGGCGGAGATGATGCCACCAACCCCCATCGCGCGTTTCACAAAGTGAACCTGCGGGGTGTGATGTACGGCAGCGACGACATTGACATTGCGCAACAAAGGGGGTTGTACGGCAGCAGGTTGCTGAAACACCCAGTAGTTTTTGGAACACAGTGAACTCTGGAGGGGAAAACATGAGCGGGACACAAGAGGTCACAGCAACTTATCTTAAATGAGCAAGCTAGCTAGTTAGGGAGTGAGTGAGTGAGTGAGCGAGTTAGTGAGTGAGCGAGTGAGTGAGCAAGTGAGTGAGTGAGTGAGTGAGTGAGCAAGTGAGTGAGCGAGGGAGTGAGTGAGTGAGCGAGCGAGGGAGTGAGCAAGTGAGTGAGTGAGTGAGCAAGTGAGTGAGCGAGGGAGTGAGTGAGTGAGCGAGCGAGGGAGCAAGTGAGCGAGCGAGGGGGTGAGTGAGCGAGGGAGTGAGTGAGGGCGCGAGCAAGTTGGTGCAATAAACGAAAATCGAAACGAATTCAGCTCTATGTATTCGAGATGTCAGCAAACAGCCAACAGATCGAGATAACATCAGAGCAGAACGGCGGTGAGAAGTCCTAATAACCAATAACTAATAACGGCCGAACAACGGCAACCCTCCTAGCAGTCGTACAAAGCAAAGAAGGCCGCAAACATCACTAGAAGGAAACGTTCTTCTGGGGCCCCACTGGCAGTATTCCCCTCACTGGGCAGCTCGTTATCACAATACCACCCCGGGGCGGGGGCCGGGGGGTGAGGGGAGGAATACACACACACCGGCACACGCGGCCGCATCTATCCCTACTTTCATATGGATGGTAAGCTCGGTGGTGCCAGGCCGTGCCCCTGGTTTAGTGCGCCAAAGGGAATTGACCGTGAAGCACTCCTTGAAGGGTATGTCCAGCATGTTCATGGCGGTGGCGAACAGCAACATCCCGCCCTCGTACACGCAGAACTGCTGCCGCTGGACGCACCTGGTGGGGGAGGGGAAGGCGGGGGGGTGGGAAAAGGCCGGGGGGGGAGACCGCACGATGCGTGCTGGCTTACGTTGTGTACGACTTACGAAGGGTTTGTAGGGTGGATAATGTGTGTATATGTACATGCACCTAGGGTTGCACATGCTCAACAAAAGTAACTTTACGTTCATTCTCAGTTTTCTCTTCCGTAGTTCTATTACGACGATGATACTGGGCTGGGCTGGGCTGGGGTGAAAATGACCGCAGGGGAAATAAATAAAGAGCATTTCGTCTAGTTTTCCGCAGCAATCTAGCGAAGTGCAAAAGGTTCTTAACTTTATCACTTGGGTTTGTGCGTATGTATGTGTGCAAATTAATGCCGTCCCCATGCCACAAACGAACAGTGCTATGTGCTGCTGTAATGCATGGACAGACAGACAGACAGACGGACGGACGGACAAACGCAACAGGGAAAAGCGGCAGAGAGAACGCATGACACGACACGGACATCTATCGCTGCCGTACTTGCCCCAGGAAGCCGCGTCCAGGCCCCCCTTCCCCCCCCCCCCCGCCCACCCCCGTACCGCGTGTCGGTGCTGCTGGGCGGCTTTCGAGGGTTCCAGAACGTCAGCAGCCGGGTGAACGTGGCGCCGCCGGAGCCTGGCTTGCCGAGCTGGGGGAATAGTCAGGGGGGGTGGGGGTTTTAGGGCGCGTCACGGGGGTTTTTCAGTGTTCACAACACCCCCCTCAGAGATCACGTCGATCACGTAGCGACATCATCTCTCCGTCATCACCCCCGGGGGGGGGGGAAAGGGGAGGGGGTCGTCAATCCAATTTCTCAATGGCCCGTCAAACTGCCACTGTAACGCCAACACCTCTGACTTTGCCCTCATCAAGAGGATTCCGGTCTCCGCATCCACATCCACTAATGGTCAGGGAAAGGGGAGCTATCCGGTACGGTCCGGTACGGCCCTGTACTACATACTGTGATATTTCCAAGTGCTGACATTCCCCCTCACTCTCACCCCCCAACACACACACACACACACACCTCCCCTCCCCCTGGCAGTCGACACGTTTCAAACCTTTTCCGCCTCCTACAGACGATTCATTACTCCCCTCTCCCCTCCAAGCGCCCGATCTCCCCCAGGGACCCCCCTCAGCATTTCCCCCCCAACCCCCCTTCGTATGTTGGGTTAGTGTCATGTCATGATCGTGTCATGTCGTGCCATGCCGTGTCGGGAAAGGGGGCTCCAGCGGTACCTTTTTCCCCCTAAGCTCTCCCCCTAGATACGTGTGACCTCAGGAGGAAGACTGCCGTACGACAACCCGTACACTCGAGCGTGAGGAACTCACCACCCATTCGAACACGCTCTGTGGACCCAGCAAACTGCCGTCCGCCGCCGCCACCGCCGCGCTTGCCGTACTGCCCTCGGCATCCTTCCCCGCCGCCGTACCGATCGACACTGCGGCCGTCGGCGCGCGCCGCCACGCCGTGGCCACCACGTCCCACTGCCCGCCAATCTCCCTGTGCTGCCTCAGGAAAAGTTCGGTTCCGGAGCTGGAGAACAAAATGCCGTACAGCTCTTGGGGGGTGCAGGACAGTACGGCAGTGACGATGGGCTTGTAGCCGTCCGGTGTGGCAGGTGGGGGCGCATCCACGGGTGTCCAGGAGTCCTCTCCGGCTGCCGCCTAGGAACGTGTGGACGGGCGAGGAGGGGGGGGAGGGGGAAAGACGAACCACAAACGAGTGAAGCTGCTGCCAGGGCAAGAGTGTACCAGTCGTAGAAGTGACCGAAAGGCGAAGAGGGGGGAGGGGGGGGGGCCAAATGGTTGTTGGGGCGAATGTGACCCTGGACGCGTCGTCATGTGCGTCGTGGTGTGTGTGCTCTTCCCTCCAACCCCACAACCCCCTGGAGAGCGTGAGATGACACACACTCCCCAGGCTGTATAGGGACCTGGGCTGTATGGTAGAAGTGGGAGGTGGGAAGCGGGATCCATATCCGTGAGGAGGGAAAGGGAGAAGGACGACGGAAGTAGGTGTCCATGGACTTGCCGTCTAGCTCTCGGGCCCTTAGCCTCAACAGGCAACCCCGGCGCTCGAGAAACCTAGGTGCCCGTAAGCCCGCAGCGTCAGCGTTTGCCACGATTACCATGATGGGAGGCTCACCTGCGGCGAGTGAGGTGCCCCTGCAGCGGCGGATTGCTGTCGCTGCGGCTTTGCAGCTCTTGCGTGTGGGCCCTTTTTGCCGCGGAGTCCCCGACCTAACGGAGCACGGGTCGGAAAAGCGATAATTTCCGTGCGCGTTGTTTATGGGTCAGAATTCAAATAGGCATTCGTAAATCTAGGCCTTGAATGGAGCGTGGCCGCATGCTATGCAAAACAAGGAACAGTCAAGGTGGGCAGAGGAAGATGCAAGGCTCACCGATGAACCTGATAGCTGCTAGTCCCAGCTGCAGGCCAACATATGCAACAGCTACTCCCTTTACAACGTCGGCGACCCTTTTCGCTCGCGCATTCAATTTTTCTTCTTCTGTTCGGGGCACCGTTCCTTTCGCCGTTAACAGGCCGATAGCCGTCTCTGCGGTCATGGCTGCTTTCCGATATGGTAAATATATACAGCTAAGAATAATGAAAAGAAACTGAGAAACGTTTGCTACAATGCTGGAGGTCCGGGGTTGTCGAGACGGAGTTTGGCATTACTGTATCTCTTTTTCATCAGATGCTACAATACTATGATGTTGTTATATGGGTAATGTTGGAAAGTTGAAAGCTTGTCCCAAGCTCGACTACACCGTGGTACGAATAACGTTCGCATCTGGACCAATATGAATCACCGTTCATGACAACATCGGTGTAACGCCCCCACACGGGCGCCTTGACACGGTACAAAGGGCTGAAATTTGAAGCCCCCGTTAACCTATATAAAATTTTGTACCAATAGTTGGATGCAGTTTGAACAGAAGCCCTTAGCACAGTACTTCTTTTAAGCCCCTCATCAGCGCGACCCAAGGGGGGCCCTGCCCTCACAACTTTACCTCCCAACCCCCTCTTCCCTTCAATGCACCCATGCACCCTCAATCACCTTCATTCCGCAGTTCACGTTCTGCGTGGTTTCAGAGCTACACCCCTGACAGCGCTGTTCAGTTACGTCGCATTACGTTGATATTTACTAACCTAACCAAAAGATGTACGACAACAAAGCGCGTGCTTTTCGAGAGAGGGGAAAGGCACGGGACGGGACTGAACCACGCCGCAAACAGAGCGTTTGCCGTACATGTACAACATGGCGAACGTAGTCGAACCTGGTATTCTCATGTTCAGCGCCCTGTTCCCCTCCGTGCTGCTACTGCTGCTACTGCTGCTAGCCAGGCCCTTTAATACCTACAGTGCTCGCTGGATGGGGTAGGTCCTATCCGGGGCCCGCGCTCGGCACCCTCCTGAAATCCCTGCCGCACTACCGTGTACGGCTAAGAGAGGTGTATGGCATAAGCGATATTGGAACATTTGGTTAACGTGGCTCCCTAACGAGAGCGTGCTTGTACGGCCAGGCAGTACGGCCAGGCCACACTGACCCTGTCTTTTTCCAAGACGTGCAAACCCGTTGTACGGCACGCAGGCTTACTTTGTCGGCTGATTGCGTGGTTAAAACCTTAGAAGGTGACAGGTACGGACGACCCTCCCCCACCAGCCTACCAGGTTGTCATGCGGTGGTGATCCCGCCCTCCCTACATAGGACTGCCTCCCACAGCTCCCACAGCTCCCCTACTCTTATCGACAGCTCAGCTAAAAAAAAGCGATTGACACCAACAAGAGATGAGAGCAGCCCAATATTCCGGTCCTGTTCTCCAGCTACCCCTCCGACCTCTCTCCCCCCCCCGCAGATTCCCCCAGTGTGACATCATCATGGCCCGTTTCGCCTTGCTCTCCTCCATGTCACCTCAACTTCCAACGGTCAACCACCAACGTCTCATTCTTCCGTTGTTCAAAAATGTGAGGAGCCTACCTGTTGTACAAGTGCTACATGAATGGTTATGGCTATATGGCGGTAGCGGTAACGGACCAGATAAGCCTAAGCCTAACAAAGGCAGCTAGGAAAACAAAATCAGAGAACAGAGAAAAAGCAAAAAGCCAAGCAAAGAGAGTTTAATCAACTAATTAAACGAAAAGCAGGCTGACAAATGGCTGAAGAAACAAGGATTTCGGTTGTTTACCGTGTTGTAGTGCAAGTGTCGTACGACCATGAAAAAAAGACAAGCGGCTCCTTCAGACACTCGCAACCGCCAACGGAAAGTGCAACACCAACGAACACAACCGTCAACGCAAGCGCCACCAGAAACACAACCGCCAACAAAGCAGCGCTGCCTCCATCCCTGCTCACTTATTGCTTCCGAGCCCTTCCCATATATACACACAGACACACATATCATCATTTAGGCAGCAGCGGCTGCTGTAACCCAGCTCCGGAAAGTCCTTCCCGCTCTTTCCCCCCCTCCGCATCCGCATCCGCACCAGCCTCCCCCTCCCACCCGCACCCTCCAACCTCCACATCCAACCCCGCTCGGCGACAGCAACCCCCCTGACCGCCCTCCTCCTCCTCCTCCCCTTCCCTGCCACCCGTACACCGCCTTCCTCCCCTCTCCCCCTCTTCCTGCTGGTCCCGCTGCTGGTGATGAAGTCCAGGTCCAGACCCAACACCGGGAAGCTGCTCCGGCAGGCTGAGCGCGAGTGCGATGGCCACTGCCGTCATCGCTGCCGCCAGGTACCACACCAGGCCCGGCATGTGGGCCAGGGGGTTGGGGGGCCGCGGGTCGCCTGGTGGTGGGGGGGCGCGGGTGACCTGGGCGAACACTGAGGCGAACAGCAGGGGTCCCAGACCTGAGGCCATGGAGCTGATGGCCTGGGGGGAGGTAGGGGAGAGGGAAGTGGGGGGGGAGGGGTTGGAGTACTGGGGGTTTGGAGTACTGGGGGTTTGGAGTACTGGGGGTTTGGAGTACTGGGGGAAATCAAGAGTACCAGGTGGTGTGGGGCCCGGGGGGAGAGCACGGCGGCTGGGGTTGGGTTGAGTTGGGTTGAGTTGGGTTGAGTTGGGTGGGGGATGGGGGGAGAAATAAATAAAGAGACCTTACCAAGGACTCTCCCTCGCCGTCCCTCCCCCTCCCTCACCTGCAGCGCCCCGAACACCGCCCCCTGGTGGTGCGGGTCTACACCCGCAGTCTGCAGGGCAGTCAGCGCCGGCCAACACACCGAACTCAACGATCCTATCGACACCGCCGCCAGCCCCGCAGCCTTGGTGGGCGCCGCCGCCAGCGCCAGGCACTCGGCGGCGTAGGCGGCCAGGCCGAACGCAAGAAGACGGCGCTCTCCCAGCCAGCGGACCAGGAAGGCAAGGAAACCCAGCTTCACGACCAAGCCCCCCGAGGCCAGGACGGTCAGCACGTGGGCCTTATATGGGGGGGGTGCGTGTGTGTATGTATGTGCATGGGGGACAGGGCGGGCAGGGGGAGGGGGGA